GGGGCTACAGCACTATCTGCGTGTACCGTTGAACTGTTACCTTAGCATGAACTCATATAGGATTGCCATTGACAAAGTCAATATCGATATCTCGAAGCGAGATGAAGGTAGACGGCGAGATCTCGAAGATGAAAGTCTTCTTGGAAATAGTGTTGGTTGCTAGTAACACTCTAGCTTAGTAAAGGTAAAATACTGTTTTACTGTTAAGCTATTTCCAAGAAGTGACCTTTCTCCATGTTTTCTGGGATTGATTCAACTTCAAAGGATATAGTGAAGGGGGTGACCATATAGATCAGTTAAACTCCCCATGTATGTAACTAGAGAATAGATATAGATATCCCCTATAACTAGATTGGGATAAACGACTAATTTGTATTGAGGTGTCTGTAATACAACCTCCAACAGTGGGTAGTGGGGATGGTGGTACTGAGGCGGCAAGGTTCCTTGGCTTTTTATCATTGCCCGGAGCAAATTCCATGGAAAGGAGAAGAACATTCTCTCAGATAGAGCGGCATGTTTCTCCTTATGTTGAATACATAGTGGATGGGTACCTGCATGATAATCTAATGGAAGAGATAAGACTGACATATGCCGAGACAGAGGTAAATCTGGACACTTGGCGGGAGAGCCTTGAGACTGGGGATGCACCAGTGGATGGAACCTCACTTCCCTACATAGGAACCTCCACCGACATGGGATGGAACAAAAGGTCCAGCGGCAGGACATACGACTCTCACTCAGGCCATGCCTGTTTGGTGGGAGAAAAGACACGGAAGCCAGTAAGTCTTTCCACCAAGTGCACCTTCTGTCGTATTTGTCAAGTGAAACGAGAACTTACTGAGGAGATACCAGAACACGAGTGTGTTATCAACCATGACGATGGTGCGGGTGCAATGGAAGCTTCGTCATTGTTGAAGATGACTCAAGACCTTTACTTCGACAAGGCTGTTTGTATTTCGAATGTAGTGACAGATGACGACAGTAAGATGAGAGCCAGGTGCAAGTGGAACAATGATGACTGGCTAAAACACAACGGGCACGCACCTGGTGACAGAAGACAGTTGATCATCGGGACACGTGTTGCTCCTCCCTCTCAACAGAAAACCCCAGGTCAAGTCAAGATGATACCTGTCTACCGTAGCTCCGGTATGTTGAAGTATCCGGTTCCGCAACCTCGTTTCCTCGCTGATCCGGCGCATTGTAAGAAGACATTGAAGAATCGCTTGTACAAGTTGAAGGCAAGGTCTGTCAAAACGGCCAATGACATGCAGGAGGGTGACATCCTAAGAGTATCGTTGTATTTCATCTTCTTCATCCGTGACATGGCAAGCATCCCAGAGAATGAGCGAGTAGTCAGAGCCCAGTGCATCTACAAGCATCATTTTGACGTACACGATCAATGTGGTGAGTGGTGTAAAAGGAAACTGGATACAACAGAGGAGCGATCCAAGTCGCAAAAGACTTACCGGAGCATGGAACATGACAGTCTCCTGTACATCGACATCAAAGAGGTGGTAGAAGAATTCACCACCGCCGAAAAACTGGCTGAGTTGTTCCACGACGGAGACACGCAGGTGAATGAATCGCTAAATCAACAGATCGCATGGTTGGCACCAAAGACAAAAACGTATTGCGGTAGCGTGTCACTGGTGATGCGGGTCCGCATTGCAATTGCCATCCATCTTGTGGGCAATCTTGTGTTGTGGCGTGACCTCTTTTACAGCATTGGATTGGATGCCGACATGTTGACAGAGTATCGACTGCTAATGCGCGACAAAATGAGGAACAGTAAGTTAGTGAACTCGAGAAAGACAGAGTATCGTGTCAAACGCAAGAAGACAATGCATGACAAGATACAGCAATACATGAAACAACTGAAGATCGACAAAGTCAACGGCATGGCTTACCAGTCTGGTTCAGCCATGGAGGCAGACAACGGCACACCGCCATTGTCGGAGGTAATGTGTTCGAAGTGTCATCAACTTGGTCACAAAGATGCTCGGAGTGGTAAATGTCCAAATAATGCGAAGAATCGACGTAAACGGAGTAAGGCAAATCCCACGAATGCTACCTCAATGCTCGAAGAAAGAAGATAACAATGTTCTTCCCATGCATGAAGAAGATATTAGCGGGGACGGCGATGAGAATGATATTTCGCTCATAGATAACATTCCCCTCACGAGCGATCCACACGTCGCAGAATTGTCGGAATCACTAGCAAACGACGGTTGAACATCGCCAAACACATGTAGTTACACCGTACTCTAGCCACTCGGAATCTACGGAGTTTGCATGAAAGAATCGTCGAATCTGAGTTGGTGAGATCGCGTAACTATTTTACTTGTCAAATCTACGTAGCTATTGGGTACGACGATGTACTAAAATAGTATAGAAAGTCTAGCGTTATCAATAGCTAACCTTCGTTGGTAGTGAAAACCAGTGTTCTTTTTCGACAAATACACAAACACAATATAAGGGTGGGATTGAAGTTTCCTTTACGGAACCCATCGTTCCGAGAAGTAGCTCAAAGGTTCCAAGAGGTCGCTGATTGGACCGTTGACAGGTTGAGAGAGGAGCAACGGTGGTCTTGAGAACTGGTTGAGCTAGGAGCAACGGTGGTCTTGGCCACTAGTCTTCCCATAAATCCAGCGACTTGCGCTTGACACCACCTTCCGTAGCCTGGGGCACCGTAGCTCATGACACTTTTCTCCTCAACCACCTTCTTTGGATCAGCCGGCATGAACGTACTGTAACGAACGCCTCTTGGATTGGGGTACAATGACCGAACGGCCTTGACGAAACAAGTGGGCAACTGCTTGCGGCCATTGATGAACTTGTACCCATTGACGGCGTAGTACCAGTAGAAGCACCATCTCTTGTGGTTGGCAGCCAAGTCATCGAAGGAGTCATCATCCAGTTCTCCGTTCAACCTGCTGGAAACAGAGAGATACAAGTCGTTCGCGTCCACATCCTGGAGAGGCAAGGTAAGAAGAATGCACCGGATGAATCCATACTCCGAACAGCACTGGCAACTGTTGTGATGACCCTCTTCTCCAATCGCTGGCTGTGTCACAATGAAATAACTTCCACGCTTGTTACAGTGGATTGACTCATATGCATCAATCGAAGTACTCTTCTCTTCAAGTGGAACCACTGCACCCAACCTGGACACTGCCCGAATGGCCTTTGCGTCAATCATCTTCTCAACAACCGGTGGGCGGTAGATGTGCCCAGTGGCTGGAACAACGTCACGCATGCTATGGGAAGAAGATCAATGACTTTTTTGTTGGGCGGAAGCTTCCAGTGGAAGTCCTTGATGAGCATGTACATCTTGTACGTGTAGCTGCGGTTGGATGTCTGCGTGATGATGGCATAGTCATCCACGAAGACAGTCGATTCAACATAGAGGTTGTATGCAGCAAAATAGTGGGACAGGCCACTGTTAACCGTGGCCTTGAACATGGTACCAGTTCCATCCATCAACACAAGATTGTAAGACAACACAGTGCTGGATATGTCGTGGGTCTTGTACTCACGAGATACTTTCTTTGCCTCAACCACAGTGAAAGCGGGGGCAGAGTCAGTCTCTTCAATGGCCGGTGACTTCAACCCTTCTCCTTTCGCCCAATACTTCGCGTCAGGCTTCACTGTCACTTCATCGCGAAAGCCACCACCCATGGGCAGGACTTTGGGAAGAGCAACAATACTCATCAAGCAAGCATCAGTAGCAAAATCAAGGCAGCCTTCCTCATAGTACTCAACTCTGGTAGCGCGGTTCATGGTGAAAGCTTGTAAGTACACAACGGCGAAATGGCGCAAAACAGTGTCACAATGAAGCTGATCTTTTCGGTTCTTTGTTTTTTCAGTTCAGCGTGATTCCTTATCGAGCGTGCACACCCACACTGATTTCGATATCTTCGATATCTTTCTTCCAATGCGAGATAACAGTTTCGGCTGCTCACTATTCCAACACGACAATCAACTAACTTGCTGCTACCAACATGGGTAACAGTATCGGCATGCCACTCTCCAATGACATGATAGCAAGTCACTATACATTGTTGAGTACGGGGCACCACGTGCCGAAGAAAGAAACATAAATTATTGGCTCACTATCGAGCAAAGTCAATGCCACAACAGCGATATCCATTGGTTTCGGCAGTTTTTCATTGACCGACGGCAGTTACTGTTGGTGAACACACAACAACACATTTTATGTTTCTTTCACTCACAGAGATAGAGCATTATCTACTCTATAAGATGGAATATAACAACATGGACATGCGATGTGCTTTTCGAGGAACGGCAATCGGTCTAAGCTAGCCTCACAATGGAGTTTTCTCACTTTTCTTGTCGTGATAATGCTAGTAAACGGTGCATGTTTCACACTTTTAAGAAAACACCCCGTGGGACATCCTTAAGACTAACGCAAAAGGGAACAAAATAGAGCTCTCGCAGCAATTCTCAGTAGAACATATATATGCATTTTCGTTGCGGATCTTGAGGGCAACAGAAGATAATATATGACAATTGTAGCTATCTATCTAGCTGCCCTACCGGTATTTGGTGGGGTTTTGTGCTGCTGGCATTGGTGAAGCTGTTCCGTTTGAGATCGTCCTCTGGGCCAGTCGCCTGGATGCAATGCCTTGAGAGAAGGGTCCTGTTCCCAAAGAATCAGAACAACCAGCTCACGCTGGCTTGCAGAAGACTGGTGACAACCTAAAAGATTTACGCTTGATCCAAAGCATTAAAGTCAGGATCTATCATCGCCTTCCATAGTGTTCCAACGTAGCCATCCAGGAAAAACACGAGTGAATGAGACAGTCAGACTTCCGATTTTAAGTGACCATTCGTCTAAGATCGCACCGTTCTGTGTGACACGGTGCCTAATTACCGTACCACAACCAGTTCGGTTACACCTATGCAGTCATAGCGCTTTGTGGCACTCAGGAAAACATGGAGTGAGTTTCCTTGACACCACCGCAAGATCTCATTTATTTGAGGTGAAGCGGATCTACCTGTTGTCCTGTAGACCTTACCACCAATAGAAGGATCAGAACGCACAATCTCCTTTACTCAACTTGTTCAAAGCACCGAGATGGAGGTAACAGAGGAAGAGCATAAAGGTGCCGCTGAAGTGGAGAAGCTGCAAGAATGTGTTAGGCAGTTGCTCAACATTTGCGCGGCGTGAGTTCTTTTCTTGTTTTCTGTACTGTATTCTGATCGACCCATGCGTTGAAGAAATGACTTACATGGATTTTTCCCTTCACAGCGAAGCAGTTGACATTCCTGAACATTTGAGGAACGAACTCCAGGAGTCCATTGAGGGTGTGTCGGCTGTCGTCGCCAAGTATGACCCTGGCTACCATATCTTGCAAGAAGAAATCAAACATGTCAGCGAAGACATTGAATCCATGGCGGGAGAAAACCCTCTGATGGTGCTCATGCGAAAGTGGCTTGAGCGAGTCAAGGCACAGTTTCCTGGCATTGATGTCCGCGTCAAGGATGGATCTTACACTGTCACCAACTTTATCGAACAAGTCGCCGATACTGGAGATGCAAAAGGGCCCAAACGAGCCAAGCAAAAGATTGCCACAGTCCAGACGGAAAGCCCCATTTACAAGCTCTTGAAATCCCTGAAACTGCTTGTCACCACGGGAAAATGTGGAAACCCGACCATCAAGGAAACAAAAGCTGTCATGGAAGGCGTCAATCTCGCTCTCGAGAGGGGAAAGCTCTATCTCATCTTGGGGTAAGTCTGACTTAAGCTAGCTGGTGGTGTGGAATGGTGCATGGTTCCTGTCTTAGCCCTGATCTGGTTGTGCTGTCTTCTGTTTCTCTATACGGACAGTGCACCTGGGTGTGGCAAATCCACGCTGCTCAAGATGATTGCAGGTACTCTTCAACAAGATGCAAATCATGTAGTGGCTGGATCTGTCTTTGTCAATGGATTTGAACAAGCTGCCAAGGAAGTCGTCTGGTCCAACCTTGCGTCATACATTGACCAAATTGATCGACTTCATGCTAGGCTTACTGTCAAAGAGACGCTAGAATTTGCTTGGAGGTGCCGTAGTGGTGGGACTCACAACAAACCATACTTTGGCAAGGACGAGGAAGTCAAAAAGGCCATTGCAGAAGCCGACAATGAACTCTTCTTTGTCAACCGAATCATGGATGGGCTCGGCTTGGCCAGAGTCGAAGATACCTTTGTCGGAGATCAGCAAAGTGTTCGTGGTGTCTCGGGAGGAGAAAAGAAACGCGTCACTGTCGGTGAAATGTTTGTCCTGCAAACTCCCGTATCCTGTTGTGATGAGATTAGTACCGGTTTGGACGGTAAGTAAATTGTCACGAGCGTTCGTCGGAGGCACTCGACAAGGACCAAGCCAAGTCTTTCGAGCCAACTCTCACTTGCCCAACATAAAACCCCGCTGATGCGTCACAAGCCGCGACAACCTACGACATTGTCAAGTTGATCAAGTTTGGTGGGCAAGTCTCGCAAACCTGCAAAATCATTTCCCTGTTGCAGCCTCCACCAGAAGTCGTCGCGCTCTTTGACGAAACAATCCTCTTGAGCGAAGGGAGAATCATCTATTGCGGCCCAACAACGTCCATTATTGATCATTTCAGTTCCTTGGGATACTCCCTGCCGGAACGCGTGGACGTCGCCGATTGGTTGCAACAACTCCCAACACCGGATGGAGCACAGTTCTTGACTGACAGCAATGCAACACACTTGACATCAGCTGAGTTCAAGGAGAAGTTTGACTCTAGTCAATTGGGCATGGACATCAAAGAAAGATTGGAAAAGCCATTTCTTGTGGACTCGCAATGTGAAGAGGAGGCAAAAAGGGAACTGAAAAGGCGTTACCAAAACTCTGCAATCGGCTCCTTGAGACTTGTCATTGGTCGGGAACTGCTCCTCTGGTGGCGCGATAAGCCTGCAATTCAGGCTAAAATCATGCAAGATCTGATCATGGGAACTGTTGCAGGGACACTCTTTTGGCAAGCCGACGAACCTCAATCCATCATGGGTATTCTGTTCCAGAGCATGTTCTTTTGCTCGTTGGGATCCATGTTGATGGTTGGGGAGCAGTTTTTCCCGCGTGCCATCTTTTACAAGCACCAGGATGCCAACTTGTTCCCCAGCTGGACCTTTGTAATTGGAAGGAGTCTTGCGGTACGATTGTTGATTTCACTTTGACCCGTTGTGCAAGCTCTTATGATATTCTTGCTGACAACCTGCCTCTATTGCGACAGACTATCCCAAATGCCCTGTGTGACGGAGTGATCTATGGCTCCCTCACGTATTGGTTTGTTGGGCTAGCCCAGCCTAGAGATGGTGGCTCTGTTGCCAACTACTTCATTTATCTCCTCCTCCTATTTTGCATTTCGCTCTCCGCTAGTCTCTTGTTCAGTGTCTTCTCTTCGGTTGTTCGAGATCGGACCATTGCTCAAGCAGCAATGGCAGTTTCCAGTAAGTGCATTCCGTGGACCAGGCTTGCCTGCTGACAGTTTCTAACATTGGCTCCTTTTGCCAGTGGTCATGCTTGTCCTTTTCAGGTATGTGTTCGGCCTTCGCAGTTGGAAGACTTGGGCAGTCCTCCAAGTTTCAGCATGTACTCAGTTTTGCCCATTTCTCTTGGTCTTGGTCCATTTATAGTGGCTTCACCGTTCAACCAGATGTCATTCCAGGTAATTTCATCTTTGCTGGATTCTGAACTGGTCCTCCCAATGTCTGACTGATTGATTCGTTCTTCCTTCCGTGTGTCCCAGACTACTGGATATGGGTGTATTGGTGCAATGTTTTTGCTTGGTAAGTGCTTAGGGTATAGCTGCTTGCTTTGAACTCTACTTCATACAGTTTCTTATCTTGCCTATGGCTGGGATTGGGTAGGATCTTGCGAGCCCTCTGTGAGTTTACGACTTCTTCCAAGATGCTACTTCTGCTGACGGCATCGCTCTCTAATGTTGCTTTGTGCTTGTTCACATGTTGCCAGGTGTAAACGAGTTTACCAGTGGCAAGTACTCTGAGCAGGAAGGACGAAACATCCTTTTGCGATTTGGAATGGCCCATAACGGAGAACCTTTCACAACTGAGTGGATTTGGTATGGAGTTGCTTTTGCCATTGGAACTGGGCTGGTTGCAACGCTGCTCTCGGTTACCTTTTTGTCGCTTGTTCGCTTCCAAACTGGCAAATCCTTGGCGACGGACATGGGGGATGCCGAGGAAGACGTAGATGAGGCGTCCTTACGAGAAGACGTTGCGATCCCGTTCACTCGTGTAAATCTCACCTTCAGAGGAATTCGTTATACAGTCACTGCTAGTACATCCCGTGAGAAGTTGGAGCTGCTGAAAGGTGTCGATGGAGTTGTGGAAGCGGGCAAGATGACGGCGTTGATGGTGGGTTGGCCGAAGTTGAAAGGCTCATGCTCGACGATCACGTTTCTCACGCCCCTCTCTCCTACATTCTCAAAAGGGTTCTTCTGGGGCGGGTAAGACGACATTGATGGATGTCCTTTCAATGAGAAAGAGCTCAGGCGAAATCGAAGGTGATGTCTGCTTGAACGGGCACCCGCAAGAACCAAGATCCTTTCGTCGGTGCACTGGTTACGTTGAGCAGGTGCGTCGATTGGTGCGAGGCTCCCGATCACGGTGGTATCTCTGACAAGTCCTGTGTTTTCTGTCTGTTGTTGATGTGTCAACAGTTCGATGTCCAGAGTGCCCAATTGACAATTCGAGAAACCGTGGAGTTTTCGGCAAGGTTGCGTTTGGAAGAAACTGTCAAGGAAGTTACACCAAGAAACATAATGAGATTCGTGGATCAGGTACTTGCCATGTTGGAGCTGACTCCCATACAGGACTTACAGGTTGGTGATGACTTATCCGGTGGGTTGTCCTTTGAACAAAAGAAGAGGCTTTCCATCGCGGTCGAACTTGTCGGTAAGACTTTCGTCGCGTTCAACGTGAAAAACCAACGAGGGACAGTCAATCTCTTACCAATGGTGACGTTCCTTCCTTGCTTGCCTCCTAGCAAACCCTTCAATAATTTTTTTGGATGGTAAGCAAACGTCGTGCCTGAGCTTTCCCTCGGAGGCTCCTAGTGTGGTGAATGCTGACCAACTGTTCCGCTACTGCTGAGTAGAGCCAACCTCTGGGTTGGATGCCCGGGCGGCCTCAATTGTGATGAAGGGTTTGAAGCGCATTGCAGAAACCGGCCGTGCCGTCGTCGCAACTATCCATCAACCGAGCATTGTAAGCCTCGTTGCGACTCGCTTTGACCTTGAGAGTTTCGAGTTTTCTCACGGAACCAACTGTCCAACCTTAGGCAATCTTCAATTCTTTTGACACCTTGCTGCTTCTCAAACGTGGAGGAGAGGTTGTATTCTTTGGCGATCTCGGAAAAGACAGTGTGAGTTTGATCAATTACTTTGAGCGGTACAGCGCAACCACCCCCATCAAGCCAGGAGAAAACCCCGCCACGTGGATGCTAACAGTGATTGGCGCTGGAAGTAGCGCTGGAACTACACGCCCATTTGACTACGCTGGCAACTACACTGGTTCCAAGCTCCACAAAGAGTGCCTCGACAATATTGCAACCCTGTCGTCGAACCCCACCGATGAAAACAAAGTGTCCTTCCCTGGGCTGTACGCCACTTCAATGTTAACGCAGAGCACTCAAGTTTTGGACAGAATCCTCAAGATTTACTGGCGGTCTCCAAGCTACAACTTGGTCCGCATCATGGTGGCGGCCGTCGTTGCCCTGCTTTTCTCGAGTGTGTACATTACCTCTAGAGTACCAAAAACGGAGTCCGACATGAACTCCCGCGCCACGACAATCTTCATTGCTACAATCTTTTTGGGTGTCAGTGCGTTCAACACGGTGCTTGCGGTCTTTGAAGCAGAGCGTAACATGTACTATCGCCACTCGGCGGCGTTGATGTATGACCAGAAGGCTCTTCTGATGTCTTTCACTTTCGCGGAACTACCTTTCGTGATGTTAGTGAGCTGCGTCTTTGTGGTGCTCTTCTATTTCATCATGGGGTTCGCCCTCGACGTGGAAAAATTCCTCTTTTACTACTTGTTTTTCGTGTTGGCTCAAATGACATTTACCTACATGGGTCAAATGTTTTCAAGTCTATTCCGCGACAGTATGACGGCACAGGGTGCGGGAGGCCTGTTTGTTTCAATGACAGTGATGTTCACTGGTGTTTTGATTCGCCCCAACGAAATGCCCGAGTTCTGGCGATTCATGTACTATGGTGAGTTTTGGGGCGTTGCTTGACAAGGTACACGATCCTCCAGGTCTCTGACAGTATTGCTTTCCGCCCGACACAGTGACTCCCGGCCACTACATCTATGAGGGCTTGCTGATGACTCAATTCACAGATGATACTACGCCAATTACTGCCAGTCAGGGATCGCCCTTCTACATGTCCTTGGTGGCTCAGGGCTGCACTCCACCTGGCCCTTGTGTGGGAACTGCCGAAGAATGGGTAATCGTTTCGTTCGGTGACTTTTCCATTGACAATGTCCCCTGGAACCTTTTGTATCTTCTCGGGCTTGTTTTCTTCACTCGCTTCGCGACGTACTTGGCGTTGACTCACTTGAACTATCGAAGTACATGAGCTGCGCTGACTGACGATGTGATAATATTTCATTGAGTGAGAAGACTTCTTGCATTGAGCTTTTAGCTTGAATGTTGATGGGCTCCTCCCTGCCTGGAAAAGGTCATCACGTTGACACGACATTTGGTATCGCTGGAAGTTGCTGGCGGGCTCTAAGGTGCCCTACATCAACCCAATCTATAATTCAATCAGGACCATTGATACCAGTGTGTGTACTTGAGTATTCTTACCATGGACAAAATAGCGTATTGTTTCATGCCCTCTGCTCGAGTCACCAGTGAGATTAGATGTCCAAGGAGCCCGGGTGACGGAGAGGTTTTTCTCTTGGTTGAAAAATCTTGAGTTCGTTCTCAGCCCTGGGGCAAACTCATTCTACAAACATGTAGCTAGTCGTGTGATCATGGATGCCCTGGCGAGAAGTACCGGTACACTGCACGCCCCCCCCTAGCTTTACATCACCTTCTTGCTCTTGGCGTGGTGGCAAATCTTTAGCAATGGTTGTGCTTTCACCGTGTTGCCTCTTTGGACGCATTGAAATAACTCCCAAGTCGACCATGTGATCTAACTCCCAAGCGAACCCTTTGATTGAATCCAATGTCAACCCCTGGATTGAATCCAAAGTCAAACCTACCAATGCACAGGAGCACAGCTGAGTTCGCACAGCTCGTCATCGTGGATCTTTCAGTGAAACTTGTGATCACCATCCTTGCTGGTGGTAGAGATTGAAATCCACAGCGCTCCGGTTTCAGTGTAATAACGTTGGCGTCATCAATCAGCAAAGATTGGATCTTTCTCAAACCCAGCGACAAACGGCCATCAATCAGTGGAGCAGTCACAAAAACAAAAAGGGCTTTGTCCATTGGTAAGTCACCACGATAAATAGAGCGACCATGCACTTCTGCAAAGGGTCGATACTGCTAGGATGCTTGTTTGTGATTTTCGCTGCTGATGTTGGGCTGGTTTCGGCTTTTGCGTTTCAGATTTCAAGTACCGATCGTCGCTATCGTCGGTACGTCCGAGTTCCAAAGTCTTGCGGACCGAACCCGTCTACTGTATTATTTCTTCGCAGCTTCGTCGCTTGGGAAATCTTCAATTGTTTCGCCCTGTTAGAATTGGGATCCACCACCTTCCTCTCTTGTGTCGAGGAATCGAATCAGCTGACGATCCATTTTTTCCCTTTTGCATTTTCCCTTTCAACGCAGATATCAGCAGCAGGTACAAACTCGTTTAAAGATGGCACCCGTCGGTTTTGTTGGAATTGGCATCATGGGAGAGGGCATGGCTGCCCGCCTTGTATCCGAGGGAGTTGCTGGTGGTGATGAAAAATCCCCCCTGATTGTTTGGAACCGAACAACTTCCAAGTGCACGGCTCTCAAGGAAAAGTTTCCAGACAAAAACATTATCATCAAGGACACTGCAAAGGAAGTGGTGGAAGCCTGTGAAATTACCTACTCGATTTTATCCACACCTGAGGTGAGCCAAATTGTCTTTGAAGGCGACAATGGAGTCCTGGCTGGTGTTTCCAAAGGAAAGTCGATTGTGGATTGTGCCACTCTCGCCGAAGAAGACATGAAACGTATGAGTGAAGCTGTCGTGCAAAAGGGCGGGTAAGTTTGTATTCTTTGACTCTGTGCGAAAGATCGCTGACGTCTAGCTTTTTAATTGCTTGAGCTGCAACCCTTTCTAACGCATTTACTTTGGCCTTCAGACGATTCCTAGAAGCCCCGGTTTCAGGATCCAAGGTTCCCGCTGCCACGGGAACTTTGATTTTCCTCTGTGCTGGCTCCGAAGAACTATTTAACGAAATCAAAGACAGCGGACTCAAGGCTATGGGAAAGGCCAGCCACTTCTTTGGCACGCAGGTTGGTTTTGGCACGCGTTCCAAACTAGTTGTCAACTCCTTGATGGGAACTATGATGGTCGCCTTTGGAGAGGCAATCGCCTTGTCAGAGTCTGTGGGGCTAGATCCTACCAAAATGATTGAAATCATTGGTCAGGGTGCTATTCAAAGCCCAGTTTATGCCCTCAAGGGACCCAAGATGATTGTCAAAAATCACGCCCCAAACTTTCCGCTGAAGCATGCTCATAAGGACATGGCATTGGCTTCCAAAATGGCAAAGGATGCATGTGTCGAATACTCCGTGATGGATCAAGCCGAGACAATCTTCCGGGCTGCTAGAAGTGATGAGGGGTTGAAATTGGCAGATCTTGATATGAGCGCTGTCTTTGAGAAGATCCACGAAGAATCCAGCAGCGACTTCTCTAAGAAACGAAAGGCGGACAAGATATAGATACTGTATGGCATAGCAGCTACTAGAGCTAGCTACCGATAAGTTGGCAGATTCTAAACATCCTATGGAAAGGACCTTCAGTGCATCCAGTTCACTGCTTTCCTGTTTGCTAGCTACTGGTAGTCTAGTAGCCTTGATGACGAGCACATATTCGATCGAATCATTCAATATTGTAGATGGCTAGCTAGCTAGTACGACTGTACCTCAAATTCACTATCGAATGGCAATCGATCCGAATCGAATCGAATCGAATCACAAATTGATTCTTCATTCGATCGAATCTGATCCCTCAATTTGTTCGATTTCAGTCGTGCATATCGCTCAAGTTTTACAGAAATGAGATTCTGTATGGAGAAATCGAAGTTCTATGAAATATTTGGTAAATTATGAAAAATCAAGTGAAATTGTTAGTTTACATGGAACATTTTGGTAAAAGTAGACCTCGCTACTAGCTAGCTTAGTCGTTTTCACAGTAACTACCAATTGACGATTTTGGACTAGTTTTACCATTTTCAGTTTTTGGAAAAGCCATAAAACGGCAAGTTCTATGGAAATTTTGATCAATAATACTAGTAAATAAACTACGGAAGTTGAGTTTATCCGCAATTTACGGTTATTTAGTGACATCCAGCCGTGTTTCAATGGCTCAATTCTGGGCCTTGTTGGATGTTCCCGCGTAGTCCAGTAGTTGCAAGTTGCAAGTGCGTATCTTTGACCGTACGCACTTTAGCCTCACAGGAAGCCGATCTCCATCCATGCCACATGTACGCTAGCTACTGTAGCTAGCCGACAACGACGCAAGAACAGCGTGGCTATAACGCAATCCGGCAAAACACGCCTGTATGTACATCTGGCGATTGGATTTCTTCTCTTCAACCTTCAAACTGGCATACGGTACCGTTGCTCCTGCTACTGCTTTCCCAAAAGCAAGGGACAATATCCCCATCATGAGGTCTCGGAAATCTGCTCTATTTGGACCTGTTGCGCTGAGATAGAATTCAGGCATGGGCCAAATACCGAGCACATATCTTCATGGTGAGGAGTTGCATCGTACCGCGCTCGAGTAGATACTGGTCCGTCTCTAGAGTCGTACCGGTAGTGGTGCTCTGGAGTATCTCGTGGAACTTGTCCCGGAGGGACTATGTTGCATCTAGAGGTTCCGAGTGCGATCACGGGTTCCGAAAAGCTTGGAGGGCGTGAGACCTCGTGGAGGGCGTCAGGCACGCGTTTTGGTAATTAGATACAATTTATCTAACAGTAATACGGTACGGTACATACGGTACGGTACCATCCCTCGTCTTGAGAAAGGACAACTTGCAGCTAGCTACTGTACCGTAGAGTTCCTTCGCAGATCAGAGAGAGAGAGGAAGCATTACATTAGCGCCTTGGATGAAAATGATAAACTTTTGGTTTCAAGCATTCTCCTCAGCTTGTGATGCTCCGGATAAGCGTCAGCAGAGCGGTGATAGACCCGGTTTCTGTGAACTTGTCGTGCCTTGGCTTGGCTTCCTTTGAATGTGCGCATCTGTAGACCTCTCGTCTTTTCATCACCATGTAGAACCATGGCTCGCATTCGGCAATGCAAGGCCGAATTTAGCTAGCTGCACCGCACCGTGGTAGGGCTAGCAGCTAGCTAGCCACTCATTGTACCATATGGTAGAGTACAGCGTACGGTGTACATGTATTGAAGTGCATCATTTCCGAGCCATCAAAAGGGTGCCGTGACACATGGCTGGAGCGCTCTCGAGTAAGGAAGGCCAACGCACGTTCACAAATTCGCACACCACGTCACTGTCGATCAAAAAGTTGCCTGACCTCATTGGCTTTTCGCTTTCTCAAGCAAAAGCGTTCTTTCAGTTCAACCTCCCCATGTATCTTGTCATTTTTCATAAATTGGACCAACCACGTTGCAAGTCTAGTGTTTTTCTCACAATTCTATTTACAAAAGAATAAACCAAGATGACCATCAAGACTATCCAGAAATCTTCATCTGAGGTGCTTTTGGCTTCGATGCGGTATGTTTTAGTTCGTGCCCTTTTGGATGCAGATTGTCATTTTTGGACAAGATTCTCACTTTGTTTTTATTATTTTGCTCTTTCATTGCTTTCTTCAGTGATGAAGCATCAAACGACAAGCCAACAGCAACTCTTTCCGCCTCTATCCTTGAAGCATGGACTTCCCTGCCCCCTGAAGTTCGCTCGGCTTTGGTAACAAGTGAACTTGGAATTCCGAACCCTGCTACCGCTGGAAGCAATGGCACACCTTCGACAACAAAACCTGAATCCTTCTCGATCTCCAGTTATACATCTGGTAGTTCCTCGAGCTCTGATGATGCTGGAGAAAACACAGACAATTCTGGAGAAACTGTGGAAATTTGCCCCAAAACTGGGACCAAAGTCGTTTTGAAACCATTGGAAAGGGCTCCGAAGAATGTTTTTGAGTTCTCTAAGACTCACACTGAAGAATCCACTCATGTAGAGAAAACTTCAGCGGCTGTTGTCACTACCAAAACATCCATCATGACTAGGACCAGAGGATGGAGGAATGTTTTTACTCTTCCTATCGCATATGACGTGAATATGATCCCTCGTGGAACCCTTCTTGACCCCGTTAATCCTTCTTTGTTGGAAGCAACTGGAAATCACCCTGAAGGATACAACAGGCGATTTGCTGTGTTTGATGATGCCATTGAACGTCTGTACGGAGAGAAAATCCGTGCTTATTTCGCTGTCAAAGGCATTGAATTGACTGTTTGTGTCTTGAATGGAGGTGAAGCTGACAAGCGCTCAGCAGTAAGTCGGTTTATATATTGTTCCAAAAAAAAAAAAACTGGTGGTTTGGCTAACAATGCTTTGTTTCTGTTTTCAGGCTGTGGACAAACTGTTGGACGAGCTCTGTGCCTACAAGTTGAGGCGTCGTGAGCCTTTCTTGGCCATTGGTGGAGGATGCTTGCTCGATATTGCTGGAATGGGGGCTTGCATGTACCGTCGTGGTGTCCCATTTGTTAGAGTACCCACAACTCTCCTTGCCATTGTGGACGCAAGCGTTGGAGTGAAGAACGGCGTTGATTACTGCTGTGCAATCACAGATGAGACCTACAAGAACCGGGTTGGTAGTTTCTATGCTCCATCAGCCTGCCTTCTTGATCCTTCATTCATTGCAACTCAAGATGCAAGGAATGTATGCAACGGGTTCGGAGAAATTATGAAGCTTGCTCTTGTCAGGTCCACCGACTTGTTTGAGTTGCTCGAAACCCATGGTGCCGGGTTGGTGAAGTCTCGTTTCATGGAAAACTCCAATGTCCCTGATGGCGTTGGTGATCGTGTTATCGATCTGTCCATCCAGATTATGCTTGAAGAACTTGGGCCCAATCTTTGGGAGAAGACGTTGGAACGTTGCGTCGACTATGGTAAGTTTTGTCTCTTTCTGTTGGTGGTAAGTCCAGCTTGGAATACTGCTCACCAAACACGCTTTTCTGGGTAGGCCACACCTTTTCCAAACTGCTTGAGATGGTTCCTGGTGCCGACATCATGCACGGAGAGGCGGTCAATGTGGATGGATTCTTTTGCTGCATTTTGAGTTACTTGCGCGGATTCATCACCATGGACACCGTGAACCGAGTTTTCGCGGCCATGAAATCTCTTAACCTGCCCACGAATTCGTTGGACCTTCAGTCGGAGCTGGCGTGGCAGAGCTGCAAGGATGCGGTGGAACACAGGCATGGGGAGCAGAGGATTCCCTTGATCACTGACATCGGTGAGAGTATCTGTGTCAGTGACATCACCCCTGAAGAACTGGACAGGGCTCTCGAGGTGATGAAACAATTCCCACATTAGATCCTGCCTTGCTGGTTGGGTTTCAGCTTGCCCTCGCGTCCATGCAGTGTTCCCCAACCACGATAGCGCATGTGTTGGGGGCACCTGGAAGTGGCTTGCCCTCGGTCTTACTCTATGTTCCTATTCCTGTATCTTCTAATCGCTGCGGGCCCATCGCTAAGTTTGCCCTCGAATACATAACCAATCCGTGAACAGCTTGTTTAAAACGCGTGTTAAACAGAAGGATAACCTTACTACCGACCCAAAGACGTGGTATACATATTCGTGCCATTGACTAGCCGCTACCCAGAACCCAGTTGTCTTGAATTCCCCTGGGAAAGGAAGGAACTGTGCAAACTGGAAGGCCGGCTCACCGTTGAAAACCAACATGAACATTAACCGATTTTGGCCTCCTGACGAAACAAGCTGCATCGTAACAAACGACTGCCTGAACTGCAAACTTGGTGCTTACTTTGACCTTTGGATCCATTTCCTCCTGCTTTCTTCTCTCTTCTGTTCTGGAAACTGCTGCAGCTCCTGCTCTGTGTTTGAGAAGTTTCCCTTGGAGTGGATGACAACATCATTGGGGCAGGAGCCTTCTTGCCCTTGGTTTTGTCTTCGGCGATGAGCGACTCGACTGTTGCACAACTTTCCAATCTCATCAGATCAGGCACCATTTCGGCCTCCTTCAATTGCAGCCTGCCCAGCATTGTTTCTTGTGCGCATCTGGCAAACACATTTTCCTTCACGTGGCCATGGAGGAGCGTTTTGTCGCCAAGATATGTTTCCCCTGCTTGCAAATCTAGTTAGTATAAACTGCTACCGGTAGGGTGCGGTGCACCTTCAGCAACCAAACAACCCGAACAACCTGGGGGTAACGAGCTACAGAACGAAGCGGACGCAGCCAAATGCTTGCGGCCTCGAAGGATCATGTCTAGTCCAGGGTGCAGGCAAGTCAGCAAACAGACAACGAAAGGCAAACATCGTCTTGTTGGGAATGTAAAGAAGTTTGAACCAAACAGTAATACGCTCGTTTCAGTCGTCATCTTCATCGTCCACCTTCCTCTTTTTCTTGGGCTGGTCGTTGTCCTCCTCATCACCAGAAGCGGGCCTCTTGGCAGTCTTCGAACTTTCTCCGGCTTCGTCGTCATCATCGTCAGACTCCCCAAAGAGCTCGTTTGGCTTGGGCGCAGGCTTGTCTTCCTTGTCCTTGCTGGCTGAAGCAAGCAATTCATCACCACTGCTCTCGTCGTCACTGTTTCCGAAGAGTGCACTCCCCGTTGTCTTTTTATCGCCACTATCCTTTTCCTTGTCGCTCTTTTCCTTCTTATCTTTGCCCTTGCCCTTGTCGCTCTTCCCCAGCAACTCCTCGTCGCTCTCTTCGTCGTCGTCGGAGTCACCAAAGAGATCAGCTTGCGTGGCATTCTCGGTTTTGCCTTCGGCGCCCTCGGAATCACCTTTTGCTTTCTTCTCTCCCTCGTCCTCACTTTCATCCTCCGAGTCGTCAAATAGACCGCTGGCTGCTGGTGCGTCCTCAGGCGGGTCGTCGACGATAAAATCGTCGTCCTGCGGCTTTGCAGTTCTGGCCTTCTTTGCTTGTGCCGCCTTCTTGACAACCTCTTGGTGCTGCCAGTCTGCACGCAGTTGATCGGCATGCCGCATCCTTGCCTCGGCCTGGAGAAGGAACAAGTTACAGCTGGTTAATCACAACGCGACGACCAACCGCTTCAATTGCAACTGCAGACTCTGTGCTTACCTTTCGATCCATTTCCTCCTGCTTTCTTCTCTCTTCTTCCTTCTGCAACTCCCTGCGCAAGTCCTCTTCCTTCCTAGCCGCTTCAGCCGCAAGGCGCTGCAGCTCCCGCTCTGTGTTTGCCTCTTCCTCGCGCTTTCTTTCATCCGCGAGATGCGACTTGGCACTCGCGATGTTTGCCTTGCAGTGCACCACGAAGTCATTGAGCACACTTGTTGGGACAGGCACCTTCTGGCCGTTGGTTTTGTCTTCGATGAGCGATTCAACTGTCGCAAGGCTTTCTTCCAATCCATTCAGCGCCATTTCCACCTCCTTTGCTGTCCGCCTGATGTTTCTTGTGAGCTTCTGAAGCACACAGTTGCCCGCCTGTAGCCGAGTCATGCAGAGATTGTATCTTAGAATGATCTCCTTCTTTGGTCCCCATGATAGCGCGCGCTCTAGGTGTTCCATTGCCTTTTGGTATCGTTCATCAGCAGGGGCCGCTTTTGCATTGTTGAACAGTTCTGTGTGACGCGCCCAGTCAAAGTAGCAGAAAGCAATATACAATTCGACGTCTGCCAAATCGTCCAGGCGAGATTTCGACGTGACGTCTGTTGAGCCATCTTCCGTGCGTTTCATGTAATTGCGGTACATCTGTAGAGCCTCTGGGTGCTTCTTCTGTGCCAAGTAAATGTGGCCCAAATTCAACAGAGCATCCGCGATGTTTTCTTGCACTTCTCTCACTCGATTGAAAACCTCTTTCGCCTTGAAAAGCTCCCCCTTTTCAGCAAGCACTGCACCCAAGCCATTTGCGGCGTAGGCGTTCGACGAATCCTTGCTAAGAATACGTTTGTAGTAATCAGAAGCGTACTGCAGATGTTTCGCATAACGCTTCGGACTGTCCAGGTTGTTGAAGTAAATATTCCCAAGACTTAGCATGGCGTAGGCTTCGACGTTTGGGACCTTCTTGGCAAGCAGACCGTCAAAGACGTTCTGTGCCGGCTGCCAGTCACAGAGGGAGAGATGAAGGTTGCCAATCAGAGTCAGGACCTCCGGGTTACCCGGTGCCGTTGTTGCGGCGATCTTTAGCCATTCTGCACACTCAGTCAGACAGCCACAGTCCCTAGCGATACACGCCAGCCTCAGATAGCTGTTAACGTATGATGGGTTTCGCTTCACAATGGCCTTGTGAATCTCAATTGCGGCAAGCGTTCTTCCGACCGCTTCATGCAGACGAGCCAGATTGAATGCGATGCTGATTGCTTCAGGTTTATCGAGTCGCTTGTTGCCGCGCTTGACGAATAGCTTGAACGACGTCTCCGCGTTCTCCTTCTCATCGAACACTCCCTTGATGGTCAGAAGGACCCGACCATCCGAAGACTCGATCTTCACAATCTCGGATTCGAAGCTTTCGCCAATTCTGATGTGATCGCCAACCTTCAAGGGGAGACTGGCCTCATCATTGTCGCCCAGGACTTTCAGTAGCGTTTGATCAGGATTTGGTTCGGCACTCATGCCATTGCCCGCAGAATCTGCGACTGGGGCATTTGCCTCTGCGTCAGGCATTTCAGCATCCTCGATGTCCTTAACCTCTGCTTCAACGCTCGTCTTTTCTGCTGGTTCACTGGCTTGTCTGCTTCGCCCTCCTTGTCCTTCTCCGTCGCGTCATCTTTCTTGTCGGCCGCATCATCTTTCTTGTCGTTTTGGCTGGGCTTATCCTCTGGATTTGTCTTCTCGTCTCCATCCTCAGTCGATTTGTCTTGTTCAGCCGAATCCTGTGGATTGTCGCCGTCTGATGGCTTCTCTGTTGTTGTTGTTGCTGGTGGGGGCGGCACCGGTACTGCTGCTGCTTTGGTCACTTCTACCATAAGTTCCGTATCTGCATATCCAAAGAACAATTTGTTGTCATTCAAGACAATGGCGCCACCTTCGATTTCTTTGGAATCCAGAGAGACCTCTTGAGCGGTCTCATCTTCATCCAAAGCCTTGAATGACTGCTTGTACATCTCCAACGCTTTGTCGAATTTTTTGGTCTCGTGGCAGAGAACTCCAATATTGGTGTATATCTCATACGGTACTTTTTTGCCACGTCGTCCCATGAGTTGGACTGCCTTTTGATACCGATCGAGAGCTTTGGTATAGCTGCTTTCGTGTTGTTGCAGCGCCAGCGCCTCTAGCACCACTAAATCCGGGTTGAGTGGATCCAGGTCAATTGCCTTGCGAATGTGCAAGAGCCCGTCCTGTATGTTCTTTCCTTCTCTCACTTCCAACAACCCCAATAGCGCCAGTGCATCCGTGGCCCTGGCCGAAGTTCCAATCACCAACTTGAGGTGAGCCGCGGCATCGGCGTACTTTTCTTGCATAATGAGTACCTGTGCTAGCCCATATCGCGCCGGGCTCAAGTTGGGTGCCAGTTTGCAACTTTTTTCGTAGAACTTTTGTGCATTGTCAAAGTCTTCTCTGACATGGTAGACTCGGGCCAAGAAGAACAAGGATTCGGCTTGAATTTCCTTGACACTGGTACTGCTGTATGCTCCCTTGGCCAACGCGACGACACGATCATAATCCTTCTTCCAGAGTTTCAATCCACTGGTGGAGGGGTCCTTCCAAGCATCCCGAATTCGAAAGGTGGCATTGTCGTCATCATCATCGCCAGTATCTTCCGTGACATAGGTTTCAAAACTCATTCCAATTCGAACGAGTTCTCCAGCGTCAAGTGGTACATTCTGCGAGCATTTGACCACTTTGGATCCTTGTGTGACTTCGACCATTCCTGCGACGGGTGTCCATTTCCAAAAGTAGTGATTGGCTAGATGATTTTGTACCATGGCATTGGAATGATCTAGTAGATTGGCCATGGATATCATTTTGATGGCTTTTTCGGCCTGAGATCCAAAGTCTTGACTGGTCTCATCGAGACTGGCCATGGCAAGTACGGCGGCCCCGACCATGGCTTCTACATTTTCGGAATCCATGGAGAGTGCTCTTGACATGGCTGCCTTGGCTCTATCGACTTGTCCCAGACGGTAACACGCCAGTCCAAATCCAACTCTTGTGGAAGATCCCGACTTGACCGGATAGAGTCTCATGGCCTTGGCATACATTTCCTGGGCTCCCTTGTAGTCCTTTTCTCCGTAGAGTACAGCCGCCATTCCTAGGAGTGCCGGCAATACAGGTCCACATTGCTTGAGTGTAGTTTCGAAGAAGAAGCGTGCCTGATCCAATCGAGCGGCGGAGAGGTTGAGCATGCCTCTCCCAATCCATGTCATGGGAAAGAGCGTGTCAACTTTGGATGCGTGTGTGAATCTATTGTCTGCCATGGATCGTAGCTCATCTTTGGGATCTCCTCCCGGTCGTTTGATTCCTCCTGGCGCCGTGGATTGTGACTGCTGTGCTTCAGTAAGGAGGGCAATTCCGGCGGAAGCCAAGATGCGGACCTTTTGATCTCGATTGTTGCCCGTGTCCAAATCACAGGCAGCCTGAAGAATAGTGGAAGATTCTCTCGACTGACGTTGTTGCATGTACAACAAGGCAGCGTCTGCCCACGTGTTGAGTTCGGCATCTTCGTCTTTGAGGACCTGCAGGATGGTAGAGGAAGCAATTTCAGGCAGCTCTTCCGCAAAGATTTCAACAAACAGGTTGCTCGATTTGTTGGAAGAAGTCACAGGAATGATAAGGGACGGAAACAGCTCTTCGTCCTCGACTGCGTCTGCATCGTCCATCTCCACATCTTCGGAACCAGAAACTTCAGTCGCCATGGTGGTGGCGTATTACGGTACTCTGGCTTGTCTTGCTAGCTAGGTACAAGAAGAAGAATCAGAGCACATCCAAGCACTTGGAGGTGTCGTTGAGGGGGTTTGGGTGTTGTGTTGTTGTCTCTTCTCGTGTTGGACGTTTGATACTAGCTAGCCTGCAAAGCTGTTGAAAGCTTATGTTGTGGTTTCAGACGGTATCTTGGGGAATGCGGTACCAGTACGGTGGTATCTTGTTGCTTCCGTTGTGGGAGTGCTAACGTGCTAACGCAGAACGAAGAGTGGTCATTTCTTTTCGGCTCCTTGCTTTCTTGCCAGATAACGATCCAAGACCTGGATGGCTGGTTGCATCCATCTGACCAAAGCACACTATCAACGCTCAAGCACCCTGGGTTATTTCTCCTCTTGACCACCAGAAACTGAAAGCAAGCGGCTTTGTGCTGTTGTTTTTAAAATTTCATTGTTCATTGAAACAATAATTCTCGTCTACTTCGGCCAATCCAGAACTGAAACCAAGATGAAGTTCCATGCCACTTTGCTAGTGGTCCTTCTTGCCACCACTTCTGTGGCCGCCAATGAGAGACAAATGCAATCGCCCATACCCAACGGCGACTGGTACACCACCTACTCGAAATATCCAGAATACTGTTCCACCCCTGACATGATGGCCGAACGCAAAATCCCTTCGGTGCAACAAGATTCTCGGCTGGGAGAAACACGACTCGTCCATGTCACCACGGTCATTCGACACGGGGCCAGAACTCCGGACGTTGGAGGATACCAATGCTGGGAAGGGTACTGGGATAATCCCGAGACGGGAGTTTGGAATTGCGATCTCAAAACGCAAATGGCACAACCAACGCCCGTGGACCCGGATCATAGTGAAGTGGTTTTGTTTGAAAAGCAGTATGATGCTCTCTTGGATCCGGATCAGGGACTTTCCAATGGACTTTTTGGGACTTGTCAGACGGGACAACTCATCCAACGAGGATATGATCAACAAATCGAAAATGGAAGAATCCTAAGAGATGCCTATTGCTATGATGCGGATCTGGATGTCATTGATCATGATCCCAGAATGAGATTGATGGATGTCAATGCTCAAGATAACAAGCCATGGAATGAACCACAATTGCATTTGCGATCAGATGATGATCAGCGGGTATTGGTGTCGGGACAAACTCTCGTCAGATCCATGTTTGGACCAGAAATCAAAGAGGCAACCAACAAGGGACGACAAGTCAACATTCCCGTACATTTGGCCGATAGAGACAAAGATGTCATTTCCATTCGAGAAAGTACCTGTCCTCGACTTACAGAAATCAGAGAAAACCTTGAAAAATCTTCCATTTTCAAACGATACAACAACTCCAAGGAAGCACGTGAAATCTACAAGTTTGTAAAAAAGGAACTCAAAATCAAAGGAAAGATGAGTATTTTGGAATGCCTCATGACTACGGTCTGCACAGACAGACCATTGCCAGATGTTTTGGATTATGAAAAGTCAGACATGTTTGATCGAATGGCTTCCTTTGTGAGTGATCACCAACCTCCTTTCATCTCTTGGCACTTCTTTGACTGTTTCCACTCACTGACCATGCTATCTGCCACTTTTTTCTGTTATTGCAGGCTTATCAGGGATTTAATATGCATCTGCTGGCCAACAATGCAGGTGAGTGCAAACTGTGGCTCTATAATGAAATTATTTATTTCCAAAAGCGGATGGAACTGTGTAGAATCAACTCACTATTTCTCTTTGGTACCAACAGAGTATTCTAAACTGGCCATGGCTCCATTATGGGCTGAAATCATGGACAAGATCAATCTCATCCTCAATGGTGACAAACACAGCCCTGCAACTCGCCTTGCCTTGATCTCAGCCCACGATGACACAGTTGCATCTCTCATGGCAACCCTGGGGATTTGGAAAGATGATCAATGGCCGCCGTATGCTACCATGTTCCTTATTGAGGTATGTAGAGACATCCGAGGACGTCTGAATCCCTGCACCACGGGGTGACTCACGACATTTTTGGGCTTTGGTTTGAACTTCCTGCCACACACACACACACTGGACTCTAATAAAACCACACGACAATCCTCAACACCGTTTGGATGATAGATTCACGAGATCATTGATAGCAGAACGGATCATGCCGCCTTCCCTTCGAAGTTTGCATTCCGATTGGTTCATGATGGACAAGTGCTCACGCAAAAAATAAAAGGCTGCTTGGACGATGCAGAGCTTTGTGATATCAATGTTTTTACGGATCTTGTGGCCGGCTTTTCGTCACGAGACCGAAATTGCAAGCCCAAGAGAAAACTTTCTTCCGATTCCGGTGGCGGCGCGTTGGGACCATTTTATTCGTTCCTCCTCCTGCTTGTTGGTTCAGCCATTGGAGGTGCTGGAATGTCCTACTACTTGACCGGGTCGATCCCATTCTGGAAGGGGAATGGGATTGGAAGATCTTCGGACTTTTCTGGCATGTCATTGCCTCCAGTGGGCTATAGTGACGATCCCGCGGCTGATAGTGCCAACGGATTCGAAGACGATGCCGACAAAAACAATGGTGGCATCACATTTCTAGAATAGCAAAGCGTACGGGTGCATCTACATGTAGCTAATGAAGGGCGTTAGAGCTCCTTTCAGGAGCATTTTCTTCTGTCTCCTGTCTCCTGGAGCAAAATACATAATGAACACCTGGTACGGTACCTGGTACGGTTTCTATCGCTCCAGCTGCCGTACGGTAATATTCGAAGGGAATGATCGTTTGTATTCGAAGAATTCGATTGTGATGTCATCCTGATGTAAAACCAATTTCACCTCTGCTGAACCCGTTTCCACCCAGCACGTGTCAGGGATTGTGTTCACACGATTGAAACCTTGCGAAGCTCTCGAGCTCCTTCGAAGACACAACACGAAACCATCAGCAGGGCTTGGCTCAACACTCAACAGAGGACCATAGCCAGCATCCCACCTTCCAATATTTGTACAGTACTGTAGCGACATCATTGGCTGCGGAAGTGTACCGTCGCAAAAGGAGCTGGAAGAAAGCAAAAAGTTGGTTGAGTGGAGTCGGCAATATTCGACAAGCGCATTTGCAAGAGAATTCCAGGGCAAACCGTTGCACGGACCTCGGACAAGTGGAGAAACGAGAAACTGCTGAGCGTCGTCTGGAAGAACAATAGAAGGATGAAGGATGACGATTGTAAGGAGAAGTCTGAAAGGAAAAGGCAGAGGGAGAAGCAAAGACGGAGCGAATTGACCAATGCTTTTGATGATCTCTCGGCGATGGTGTTGAAAATGGACAATCCCGACGACGAAGCAGGAGAAAGCTCCGGAAGGAAAAAGGGCAGGCGTTTGTCAAGTCGTAGCGAGGGAGAAAATGACACTGGGGGGATGACAAGAGTTGACTTGATCAATAGAGCTCTGACAATCATGAAGCGCTTGCATCAGGAAAACAGAGAGCTCAAAGAATCTCTTACACGATCAGGTGGACGGGACAAGGGCTCTGCTGAGGTGAGGATGTCGTCAGTGGGTTCTGGGTTGGTCAAATTTGGCGGAGATTGTATCATTTTCTCATTGAATTTCTTACACTTGTACCCTTTTCTTTTCGCTGCATTTAGATCATGGTGATGGTGCCAACTCTCACGCCTGCAGATGATGGATCCCCGCCACCTCCAGGAGGGCCAGCTGTGGGATCCTTTAGGCCTCCGTACATGCCCGGTTTTGCTCCACTTACACAACAAGAACACGGACAACCACCTCCATACGCTGGTCCACCGTCCAGATACCCACCACCTCCACCACAACAGGGGGCATGGGGCCCCTTTCCTCCTGGGGCTCCTCCAGCCCACTATGCAGGTAGTGACAGAGGCCATCGGTTGCCGCCACCCCCTCCACCACATGATGCCATGCAGAGACGATAAGGTAAATGCTGCAGGAGCTGTGGCTATTCTCCTGGGGACTTAGCATGTTTTGAAAAGGTTCTTGGTAGGGTTGTGGGTTTAGCCGAACTAGAAAAATTCTACTGCGCTGTACTAGCACATGTACCGGTACCGGTAGTTTGCGGCCTTTCCCCGAGGCAGATGCCCAATCGCTCCTTACCATGAATATGCGTCGGAGCCCAAAGCCCATACCAAGAGTGCACAACTCTTAGACGTTCTCTGAAATTCCGCCGTTCCCTCATTGCCGGAACGAGGTGATGCCAAATGTGCGGGTCCAGCCAAATCTATTTTATTAGAACTACACATTCTCGGCCGCCGGGTATCTTTGTTCAATCTATGATGTTTCGTATATACAATTTCGCCTCCTATTTTCCTTTCACATCTCCATCTTTTCGTCCTGTTTTTTGTTCGAGATTCGCAACACCTCTTCCAATCTCTTGCAAAACTCAACGAGAGATGTTTCCTTGAAGACAGGGTAGCACTTCTCAGGAGCCGGTCGCTTCTCGCGAATAAACCTGGCAGATCGCTCCTGATTCGCAGCCTTCCATTCGTGAAACTTGATCGTCTGCTCTGGAGAAAGCACATCCAAGAAGGACTTTTCCTCCCGAGCAGATGCAATCTGGCACTGCGTCGAAATAATAGCATCAGTCAAACTAGAGGTCATCTTTGTGGCGGCAGCTAGCTGCGATCGATAGTCCGCCAAGTTCTCCATTTGTTGGAGACTGAGGAACGAAGTAGAGTGATCAGGAGAAAAAGGGCATGTGAGAACCAATGCCACGTCAACGGCATTCCAGTCCAAGCAACGAGACGCTCACCGCTTCAATGCTTGCATGAGACGCTCTTCCTGGTCAACGCTAATACTAAGTTCAAAGCAGAGCAAAGGCCACATGCGGGGAGCATCCAGCGCACGAGAAGTGGGATTGGACCTCTCTGCAATATCTTGACTGTCGCTCTTGCCCTTCTTCTTGCTGTCCGACTTTTCTGTTTTCCAACCGTTCGTCAACTCATCGCCGATCTGTTTGGAGCTGACTCTGCCAGAAGACACTCGGAGGATCTAAACAATGCATCAAAGACGGAAGGATCAGTTAACTAAACAAGCAACAAAAGCTCTGCGAGGCCAGTCGTTCTTCCTACCTGCTTTCCATCCCTTCGCGTGTATTCGTCCTTTCCAGCCGTGAAGAACCCGTCGTTGTGCAGTGTAAGCCACAAAAGGAATTTCTGGTACCGTGGAAGCAATACCTGCTTCAAAGTATTGTATTGGAACTCAACCGTTGCCTGCGCAATTTGACTGCCTCCACAGGAACTGCGCAAGATTGTCGCAAGCCTCTGCTGGATGGCCGGGTCCTGATTCAGCTGCTCCATGTTTTCTTTCACTTCTTCCATGAGCTTAACCATTTCATCGTGTCGAACTTGCTTGAGAGTAGAGCACATAGCGTTGACCTGGTTCTTCCGCTCATCTTCGATCTTCGTATGCAACTTATCTACCTGCGCCGCCAAAGTGGCCAGTCGTTCCTTTTTTCGCCGACGACTTTTGCGAGCGCTTTCTCGATTACGTTCTAGCCGTCTAGCTCGTTTCTCTTCGGATTCTCCCTGCGAAGTGGCGGCCAAATGGAACTTGTGATTCAAAGCTGCCTGGTACAGCATTGGGTTCTGTGCTACAGCAGCGGCCGCCGCAGCGGCGGTAGGAAACGTCCCTGCATGAAAGACATGTGTTCCGGCGGCCGCTGGTACGGGAATAGCGGTCGGATGTTGTGCCACTGGTGGTGCCTGATGCTGAATGCTGACTAGAGTTCCCGGAGGTAGGATTGTAGTGTTAGCGGGTTGGTTTGTCCTTTGATTCTGATTGGCAGCCTTGGCCCTGGCATTCAGTTGGTTCAGCCATTCCAAATGCGAATCCTTATTGCCGTGATCTACTGCAGCCACGGGTTGACTTTGACCCGGATAGACAATGGGATAAGCCTGTTGCGGTGGAGGTGGTTGTTGTGTGCTTGGTCCATCTTTTCTCCTTTGCTGTTGGGAAGATGACTGCGAAGAAATCTGATTTGCCTGCCGTGGTGCTGGGCCGCGACTACCTGTGCCAGGTGGGACATTTCTTGACGGTGGGGGCAGCATCAGATTCTCCTGCGCTGTCCCAATCATAGCCGCAGGGGAGATGGGTGAATCATCTCCATGCCCCGGGGGCGAATCACTATTACTAGCCCGTATCTTGCCACTATTTGCGCTTCCCGGTCGCTCAGATGTGGATCCTGACGTGCTAGTGCCCGCGGTTGTTGGGGCGTGACTGTGATGCCTACCGGTATGATGCATCTGATGGTGCAGGACAGGACCACCAGACACAAGGGTGACCGCGAGTGAGGAAAGAGATGAAGAGGAACTGGATGAAACGAGTTGACTTTGGCCTTGCTGTGCTTGTTGGGCTGCTGCTTGCATTGAAGCAATGTTGTCTACGGTGTGGCGTGCGTAACCAATCGGTTGCGGTGGTTGATGTTGTTGTTGCGAAGAATGAGATGAACTGTGAGATGGATGATAGAATTGCATAGCCGGGGTTCTTGGCTGTTGAGGGTCTGCCGCATCTGTGAGAGTGGAATTGGAACTTGTCCTCGAAGAGCCAGGACCGTAGCTAGCATTCATTCCTAACGGTGGGTTCATGTCAGCATTCGATGGATTCGGTGCCGACGAAAAATCCTGGTAGGATTGACCAGGTGTACTATGCCCATTAGGATCTCCTAGAAAGTACGATAGCAGATGGTCTATGGAACACACAAATTGAGGTTGGAAGTATTAATGGTGGGTCAATAGAATGCATCGTTAGAGAACAAATCAATCGAATCGTACTGCAGGTATACGAGAACACCCAATCACGCTACATTCCTTCCTTTTTTCCTTGGCGTACCTGTCTCAGAGTCCCAATGCGGCGTTTGCTGCTCTTCGGGCGCCCCAGAATCAATGGTCGGTAGACCAGAGAATTCAACCCGCCGTGTTCCATTGTAGTTCGATGGCGGCGACATGCTTTCGCACTGTGGAGAATCTACAAAACCCTGAAAGGTTGGTTGCCTTCGTCTGAGGCTAGTTCTAGAGGCTCTAGTGAAGAGGCTCTTGGCTGCTCTCGGAGAGCCTCCACACTCGAGTTGACTGAATACCAGCGGTTTAAAAAGGGTTGCTGCAGCTCGTCACGCCTGTTGTTGACCATCGTCGTCGTCAATTCTGCGATGGAGCCACCTGTTACTTTGCAGGCAAGTTTGCATAAATTTTTTTGACAGTGGTTCTGGTTCCCTTAATCAGAAGTTGCCGGAACGTTAAAGAATATTTCAATATTACCTTGAATCTCGTTTGTTAAATCTTTGAATTCTATCTCTAATAATAAGTAATTGACCAATTTTATAATTTACATTTTGCATGATTTCAAAAGTAGAACTAGCTTCAATTTTCCCAAAACACAACAACGGATCAACTGAGCATACTATTAATAGCTAGCTAGTGTACTATTATTAGTGCGGTAGCCTTAAACCTATTGTGGCATGTCTGAGAATTCAGGTTCGCTTTCTCGGTTTTGCGCACTGTTCGATACTCTGCAAGGTGCTATCGGTAGTACTGGAACTCTGCATGATGGACCACAACCAGAAGTAGGGACTCTGGGAGGTGACATTGCAGATGAGTTGGATGCTCTTCCCAAACGCAGACTTGAACAGAGGGTTGGTGGAGGCGCAACCCGTTGACATACCCACTGAAGTAGCAAGGCCAGTGGTAGAAGAAAGAGATGAGCCCAACTGTGGCAGCAATACCGACGAAACGAAAATCTGCAGTACTGTATGTGATATTGGACTCTCCTCATGCCCTCCTTTGGAAGTATAGCTGTGGGGTTGTGGTTTACCTACCAGTAGTTGCTTCATCGAGAGACGACAGTTATGGGTTGGATACCAGTAACTATATAATGAATTTTGTCATGTCATGTCTGATTTTGAACTGTCTAGCTAGGTTTAGCAGCCATCAACTGGATGGAAACTCTGGGTTGACAGGCACAATTCCATTTTGAATGGGTCAACTTTTGGCCAAATTTTAGCCAGTACTGTAAGGGTTAGAGGTCAGAGTCCATTCCCAGAACACTCTGTGGGATGAGGAGTATGTTCTGACAATTGTCCTTGCCAATCTACAAATAATGGAACCAACTTGATGATACATGAAGACCTGCATGCAAGTCTTCAGGATTGGCCTCCGTTTCCGGCATACAGCTTTGAAATGTAGGTAGATGCGTTAAATTAAAATTACTCTACTATAGTAAGTTAGAAAAATCTTTCGAATAACTTAACAAAAGCTTTACCTCAACTACCATTAATGAAGCATTTTCACAGTTTTGACCAATTTTCCCTACCAAAGGTCAAATTTATGAATTGAGTGGAAATATATGTCTGGCCTTTGTACGTCCCAGGATCCATAACGAAGCTAAACGATGATCGATCTCCGCTTGCTTCGACTGCAAGCGCCACAACTCGACACTCTTTGTTGCCGCTTCCATCGCTGTCTGCCGAGCCCTATTCCATTCATCGACCCTTTGAAATTGAACGTTCCTCGACGTATCCTCAACTAGCTAATCATGAGCCGAGATTCGTAAGTGGAAAGAGTGGAGAGATTTGGATCAAGGCAATATCAGCATCAGTCGATTGCGTATCTTTGGCACCACCTTGGCTGTTTGGACTCACACGCTTTGCTCTTGCATGGCTCAACTCCTTTTGACAGCAACTATGATCACCACATTTCAATTTTCTCGCCACAGGGGCGATTGTATCAGATGGAATATTGCTTCAAAGCAGCCAATTCTGGATTGACAGGCATTGCCGTTCGCGGAAAGGATTCCTGCTGTGTTGTCACCCAAAAGAAGGTCCCTGATCGTCTCATGGAACCCAGCAGTGTCACCCATTTGTTCCAGCTGACCAAGAAAGTGGGTGTCTGTGTGACAGGAACCATGGCAGATTGCAAGGCGATGGTGCAGCGAGCGCGGTACGAGTCTGGACAATGGACTTACGACAATGGCTACGAATGTCCAGTGGGTGTTTTGGCCAAGCGGATGGCAGATTTGGCTCAGGTCAATACGCAAACAGCCAGTATGCGGCCTCTCGCTTGCATTGGCTTGTTCATTGGTGTAGACGAAGAAACGGGACCACAGGTCTTCAAGGTGGACTGCGCTGGTCACTATTTGCCTTTCTTTGCTGCCGCGGCTGGGCCCAAGGAGCAGGAAGCCATGAACTTTCTGGAAAAGCGAGTCGAAGGCATGAAAGAATTCACAAATGAGCAGGTAATTAGGACTGCCATCACTTGCTTGGGGCATGTCCTAGGCAGTGACTTTAGGGGATCCGAAATTGAGGTTGGTAGCGTCGTCGGCAAGGACGGACGATTCAAAGTGCTCTCTGAGGAAGAAATTGAAGTGCATCTCAATGCCATTGCTGATGATGCTGATGCCTAAAAAGACACCAGGTACCACTGGTAGTTCAACAATTTGCAAAACAAAGGACTTCTAACTAGCACACAGATTGTATACACACAGCTCTCCAGCCGGGCATATCGCGTAGACGTCTAGTGATCGAGACTTTTGCTTGATACATGTAGTACTAGCTAGCTAGCGTGATGTGAGGGTACCGGTAATAGGTCATCTTGAGAAGGTATATGTACGGAAGCGTTGATTGAATCATTCGATTCTGATCAATCTCCATCAGCAATCCATTCGATACGGGTGACTCGTACACCGAAAAGCACAGCTAGCTGAATCGAATCGCCATTCGTCAGGAGATGAGCCCGGTGCTACGTGTACGGTAGCTGGCTCTCGTAAAGGAGTTTGGACTTGGTATCCTACGATTTCGAGTTAGACTTGTGTGCAAAAAATGCTACCATTGTTTATTTATTCTCTGTCTCTTCGCAAGTGCCGGGTGTATTGCATTGCATGGTAGCGCTTACTCGATTGGTGGCAATCCGGTCCTCAATCTCAGTCGCTCGGCAATCAAAAAGGCCAACTCCAGGGCTTGTGCTCCATTGAGGCGGGGATCGCAGTAGGTGTGGTAACGAGCAGACAAGGTTTCTTCCTTGACATCACTCAATCCCCCAATGCATTCTGTAACATCCTCTCCAGTCATCTCCAAGTGGACACCGCCGGGGTGTGATCCCATCTCGTCATGAACATCAAAGAAGGCGCGCAGTTCAGCCCGAATATTTTCAAAGTCACGAGTTTTGAATCCATTATCCGTTTTGCGGGTGTTTCCATGGACTGGGTCCGAGATCCAGAGCACGGATTTGCCCTCGCGTTGGACAGCGCGAATGAGGCCGGGCAAGTTCTTGCGCAGCTTTTCGGCTCCCATGCGGACAACAATAGTCAAACGACCAGGGATGTTTTGGGGGTTCATGGTGTCAATGATACGGATCAATTCCTCGGGTGAGCACTTGTCGCTGATCTTGACACCGATGGGGTTGCCAATGCCACGAACAAACTCCAAATGAGCACCATCCAATTGCCGTGTGCGTTCTCCCACCCAAAGCATATGTGCTGAGCAATCATACCAACGGCCCGTGGTGGAATCTTCTCGGGTAAGGGCTTGTTCGTAAGGAAGGAGCAGACACTCATGGGCAGTGTAGAAATCAGTCTTGGTGAAGGCAGGTGCAGCGGTGTCGACTCCAATGGCCTTCATGAAACGCAGGGATTCGTCGACCTTGGTGGCGAATTTTCGGTACCTGAGGAGAAAAACAGCACAAAGAAAATTATCAACTACAAGCAAAGGTGGAAAGATGCCAGGTCCATTTGTTGCAGGGATTCATGTACAGAAACAGAACAACGCATTTCTGCGAAACCCACCTGCTTCCTTCGTCGGTTTGTTCCACAAAGTCAAGATTCCAGGCATGAAGACGAGAAATATCGGCGTAACCTCCTGTGCTGAAAGCTCGAAGAATATTCAAAGTCTGAGCACTTTGGTGGTAGGCCTCAACCATATTCTGTGGATTGTGTCGACGAGCCTCATCAGTGAAATCTTCTCGGTTGATGATATCACCACGGTAGCTAGGCAGTGTGACACCGTCTTTAACCTCATCCGGTTCACTACGAGGTTTTGCAAACTGTCCAGCCATTCGGCCCACCTTGATAATGGGCATCGCAGCGCCAAAGGTCAAGACCAAAGACATTTGCAAAATGACACGGAAAGTATCTCGCACATGATCGACATTGAACTCATCGAAAGCCTCGGCACAATCTCCTCCCATGATCAAGAAACCTTGGCCTTGACATGCCTTGGCCAAAGATTCATGCAGAGAACGGACTTCTCCAGCAAAGACCAAGGGAGAGAAATTACCAATTTTCTTCACGGTATCCTCCAACTCGTCTTCTGGGAAGTTTGGTGGTTGTGCTACTTTGAAATTTTGCCATGAAGAGGGAGACCAATCAGGAGAGCTGCCAATGGACGCTGAGCTCGAAGAAGGAGAGGTAGAAACCATCTTGAGAGATGATACCCCTTTCCTGTAAGGCAGTCATAATCAAGATCAAGTAACAACCAAAGCGGAAAGAAGTCAGAGATAATAGGTTTACATTACTTGCTTCGGGAACCCGTGGAACAAAACATCACACATCAAAAGTCCATCACGGGCACCGTGAAAAGGAAACATACCGAACGGAAAAAGCATCCGTGGAGGCAGATAACAGGAGCAAACTGGGAAGGAACTTCATCTTGATATCAGCTACAACGTGACTTGGCAAAGATTTTGGAAATTGCCGATGTTATGGCACTGGTGCGGGTCTCTTTTCCGAAGCGGATCCTTTCCTCCTTCTTTGATGTTGTTGAATGCGAGCGGTTTGGTGGTCTTGGAGAAGCCTAAAATCGCTTCGCGAAGATCTGAAGAAATCGGTGGTGGAAATCTGATTGGCCTTCCACGCATCTTGTAGCTTCCAGCCACTAAATCCGTCTGCTGCTGATGTCACTGTGGTCCAGTACCGTCCGACTGACTGACCTCCCAACGGTTCCAGGTGGTCGTCAATACTTCAAGCTTTGGAAAAGTGCAGCTACAGGAACACCGGTAGCAATCTTCCACTGCATGCACAACCAAGCAGAAAATATTTTAGGCCGACGACAACCAGGGTCAGGGGTACCAAGCATGCTGATAGCGAAATTGGGATTAACCACCTCTGAGAAGGCTCTTGAGTTTGCTGGCCTAGCTTGATCCAATCTTAGAGCATTTTTGAGAGAGGAGAAGGGAAAATTGTTGCTGGAATCTGTCAACTGGTATATTCTATACTACTAATAAGCGCCATGATCTGTCGGAACACTAGTAGCTTTGTGGGTATGCAGCAAGGAAGCCTGGCTAGCAGTAGTACCGGTACTCCCCATCAGCATTGCTGGTTGTGGCACATTGAGGCGTACCTTAAAATGATTTTCGGTCGTGCTGCTGTGTCAAGGGATTATTGGGATCCCATGCTTCAGGTAAGCGGGCAGGGACCCGCACCCGCAGAGATTGTCTTACTACGACAAAAAGAGACTGATGGCATCAAATCTCTTTCTACCTACGATATACTATACATTTGTGGAATTCTTCGTCACTTTATTTGCGGCTGGATCCAAGCTCCAATATCCTCGAGTAGTCCCTGTCATCATGAATATTTTTTTCATTACAGTTTTGCACACATCGCCCATTGACTCGTCGAAGAAGACGTCGTGCAACCTATAACATAAAGTTGTGAGATTCGATTCAACTTGATTTCCAGAAAGATGCTCTTAGACAATTATCTCTTGCATTCCAGCCAGCTGACAGTGGAGTCAGCCTCACCGAGCCAAACCCTATGGAAAACACTAACCAAGAATGGCAAGCAAGCATTATGTCATTCTATCCTCTAAAGAAATCACACAAAGAAGGGTTTACTACTGCACCACTACTTCGTGTGAGCCTCCCTCTTGAGAGCGAGGAGGAGAACGGCAGCACGAGGAAAAGTGATGGACCATTCCTTGGTAGCTAGCTGCCGATGTCAACTGAGGGTACCTTTTATCCAAAGGGATGCTTGCATGCACGGATTGCAGCATAAGTAGCTGCGAATCATGGATAACCCCCACTGTTGTCGACTTTTTGCATTCTTGTTTCGCCGAGACGGAGACGATAACCCAAGCAAAACCGAGGCCTCGCTTTCGTTTCCAAGGCACCGCGAACACTAAGTGAAACTTGCAAATTCATGGTCGTCTTCATCGTCATCCGGATGGTACTCTGGCACAGCTGAAACTAAGTCATATTCTCTTCTTGTTGGGCGCGAATTGTTGACGTTTCCGCTTGCCCAATTCTCAAAGCCGCCGACTTGGGTATCCACCATGAGGTAAATTATCGATATTAGAAAGGTGAGAAAGAAAGTTCCTGCAGCTCCAAAGGCGCTTGTCTTGGATTTTTCCACATCTTCAATTCCTCCGACAAAGAATGGCTGATGTATCAACATGATCCCAACCCACACCTGTCAATGACGCGCATATAGCAGCACGATGAGTGAGAAAAAAGGGTAGCACGACAAGACCCCCTCGACGATTTTTCCACAAGCTTAATGACATTGTCACCCATTCGAGCAACCCTGAAGCAGTCCCTTCTCAGTCCTTGCCCCGAGCAACCAGCATTCTCACCATGAAAATGATTCCCACCGCGGAATAGAGCGCACAACAGTGCGAAAGACTTCGATAATCTCCCATTCTTCTTCGTGTATGAACCGTCTTTGAGAACTTGAAAGACACGCTCCGGTGAAGCACTGATGCTTTAGAAGACAGCTAAATCAAATCGTGTACTGAAGCAGCAGGAGATGAGTTACCGAGGCTTTTGGCTCTTCTTGGTGGTCTTTTGGGTGGTCTCTCTTCGCACTTCTTGTGGGATTGTGGCAGTGAGTCAAGACATAACATGTTGTTGTGCTGGCACTCACGAAAGATCTGCCCGCAACGCTCGCGCAAATTTTGCGCAGTCACGTGTTTCTTCATCATCAAGTCCCGCTACTAAGGCAAGGGATACGGCCGGGACGTCTTCACTTTCTCTCCATCCGCAGCATTGCTTGCCTTGTTGCGCCACCATGGCAACAATGTTCGTCATGGTGTGAAGGAATGTGGAGCTCGTGCTGGAGAAGCTTAATAAAAGAACAGGGGAGAGAGTCCGACGGAGAGAGAGTTCGAGAGAGAGCGCGCGAGGCTTGAGTAAACGAAGGCTTCCTGAGGAGCAATGACAATGTTGCTCTCCTCGGCCGCTTCTGCATGGGTTCTTTGGAGAAGCAATGGCAACTAAATAGCTATTTGCATTCTTTTTTGCACTCTATGCCTTCAGTTCAGTATGGGTTGTCAGGTTGTCCATTTCGGGCTCTCCGTTGGTGGTGATGTAGCAAAGTTAGTAAGGGTTTCTTGACAAGTTCACAGCACTCCATTCGTACTTGTAACTGGGGCTTGTGGGTGTGACATTGGTACCAGTACTATGTAGTGGTGTGCTCGTGACTTGCCGACTACCCAAGCATTATTTCATGCATGCATCGCAAAGCTATCACGAGCCCGCCTTCAAGTACGGTACCGGTACCGTACGTCAACACGATGCAAGTACGGCCAAAAAGTCAAGAAGCAAGCTCGAATACCGTACCGGTACCTGGGACGAGCAGCTGCTTCCACCACCAACAAGGCCATCTTCAACTTCGGTATTATTGCTAGCAGCAAAACACAGCGTCGGACACCCATCCCCACCGGTGTTGTGGCCCCAAGACCTGCCCAGCCCGCACCGGTATCAATGGCCAGACCTTCAAAACGTACAGCATATTCCATTTCATGTGCAGTGAAAATCTCCCTTTGTACCCACTCCACGAGATCTAGCTAGCTATTGGAGAGCACATTGTGTTGATACAGCGGGTTTAGGTTTGTTATGTTTGATTTTCGGCGATCTCACTGTTGCAAATATTCAAAGGCTGACAGGGGAAGAGATCACTCCAACTAAAAGAAGACAGCACACGCGGATTGTTGGTTTTTGTTTGTTTCTCGGGGCAGAGAATGCTTTTGTGTTCCAAATCCGTGGTGAAACCATTGTGTCTTCCGGGAAAAGGTACCCTAGCACCAGCGTTCTCACGACGACGTGCCGTATGTAGGCACATCCCCAGTGGCCAGGTGGTATTCGGCTTCTGGGCCATCTACAGAGGCAGTGTCGTCTATCTTGTGATTAGTATCATACCACATTCCCAGTAACGAAACCACAAATGTGAAAATGAAAGCTCCCATGGCGCCGAATGCACTTGACTTCGCTTCATCAGGGTCTTCCAAGCCGCCAATGAAGAACGGTTGTGTCGTGATCATTACTCCCACCCAGAGCTGTGTGTGAAAGAGAAGAGAAAAAGATGAGAATGTAACTTGGAGGATCATCCATAGTCCAACCTCTTGTTGCACCTGTCAACGGTCGCAAATAAAGACAAGCAAGACTTGACGACCAGTAGTCGACTGACCACCAAACAAGAACTGGAACTATCTCAGCCTCAGCTACACTTACGGTGAATATAACTCCTACAGCAGAGTAGAATGCACAGCATCGTGATGTTGATCCTACGTCGTTGCACATGGTGACAGTGTTGTGATGGCTCTAATCAGATTTCCAAATTGGTAGACTGCCATTGTGGAGCTTTCAAAGGCTCGAGCTTCCTGAAAGGGCGAGGATCCCACGCCTGTCACCCCTAAACGTTCGGCTCTCATCCGTTAAGCATATTCAGTTCTGAAGGATGCATTTCGAAACCAGACAGGAGCATTGGAGGACGAACGCACTTATGCTCCAAAATACTATTTAGCTATCAGAGCTGCGAGCAAGGTTCGGAGGCCTTCAGAGGATGAGAGGTTTGGTATTGTACAGTGTTACCGATACTGGTACCTGGTGCGGTGACTACCGGTAGAGCAGCACCATGGTACCACTCTAGCTAGCAGAGAGTAGCTACATGCAGTGATGTTTGTAAGGTGGATTGATTGCTATTGTGACCTTGACAGGGGTAGTCTCTGAAGCGACAGCTTTTTCAGGTGGGAGAATCCATCCTTCTACAAATGCATGCGCAATGATGGAGCACTTGACTAGCTAGGACATTGTAGAGAAGTAAGGAATGACAATGCTTATCTATTAATACCGTGACAGCTGCGCAGACTACACACTAGTACATCAAGAAGTACCGTGAGACGAGCTGCCTCCACACCTTCAAACTATCAGCCAGACGTAGGGCATTCGTTGCGGCAGCAACAGAATCTTTGCTCCCTGCCAAACCCTTCTTCACAGGTGGACTTAGCGGTTTCCTCAGCCAACGGATGAAGACAGTACCCAGTTCCACCACTCGTGTAGAAGCTTGGCTCGTTTCTAAACACTGTCCCTCCAATGAACTCATCACAGTCTCTACCCAACAAAGAGCTCACGTACTCCTGCTTCTCTTGTGTGTTCAGGTCTAGCGTTGCATCAATGTTGCAAGATCCTCCCTCTCCTAGACACGCATTGCTGCAGCTATCACCAGGCTGTGACAGAACCCATCCATGCTGGGGCAAATCGCTTACTGGACAGTCGCTGCCACAGCAACAGTACTTGCGTTCCGAGCCAAAGCTTACATTGCAACTAACTTCGCTCTCTTCCCCAGGGCCAATGTGGATGCAGTATCTTCCCCCGCTACTGGTGTAGGAAGAGGGTTCGTTACCAAAAATCACTCCTTCAAAGAAGTGGTCGCAGTGAATATCCAACAGAGAACCGACAAAACGTAGGCGTTCTTCGCTCTGGAGCTGGCTGATACCTTCAACATTACAACTACCAGAACACGCATCATCACAGTTTTCACCAGGCTCCGACAGAATCCAATCATGTGCTTCAGCGGTAGAAAATAGGAGAACCAATGACACTGCTACCCTTGTATGTGGGCGGAGTGGTCCCAGGCGCAAGAAATGTGTCATTGTTTTTTGTTTTGTTTTAGCTTGTTGATCGACCACGAGAGGAGATTATGAGCCATTCATCGCCGATGCCTGCTGCTAGCCAGCTGGGGTAGCCTCTACATGCTAGCTAGCATGTGTGTAATCTCCAGTGGACTCGGGCTTTCTCCATTCTACAGTACCAGTACGTCCAGAGCGCACAAGGAGGATTGAGTTACCCCACAACTCTCTGGCAGTTTTGGCAGGTGTGCGTCTAACTAAGAGGAACGTTTCGTTTGAGCTCCAGACCAATTGAGCCACTTCCAGAAGAGGACTGAGACTCATGCCACCACTTGGTACACCACCTGGGTTAGGACCGAAGCAACAGTAGCACTAAAAGCTCTATAGCCTTTGAGCCCAAACCATTCAGTACTCCAGCTCGTACCGTAGCTCTATCCATAGTGCAGGAGAGGGGCTTATTGGTAGCCCTGTAGTCTCCTACGATGTCATTGCTAGTTTGCACACCTAGCTTTATGAGCCTGGCTGTAATCTGTGGCAAGTTGTCCCCATCATTACAGGTACCGGTACACGTACGCTGTAGCCCGCATCTTCAGAACAAGTAGAAGTGACAAAGTCAGCAATGCTTGTTGCAGTCAGAGGTTAGGATTTATCAGTTCCCTGAAGATCATGGTTGGAATGTCAGATGGCTTTCGATGATTGGCTAGATTGCTGAATGAATACACTCTGTCAAGCTAGCAATTATGCCTCCAGCCTTTAGCTTCTTGGATGGATGAGCTCGAGCTTCTCAAAAGCAATTGAGATCATGGAAACCCAACTAGGCATGAACTGATCCTTCTTATGAAGGTAATAGATCAGCACTATAGTACTTGCTCCCAGAGTCACAGATTAATGCCACAACCTGACTGGCTTGGCCGCTCTGGATAAGCTGTACGGCTGCGTGCAGGTTTGCCCCAGCAGAAAAGCCACCAAAGATCCCTTCCGTCTTCCCCAACAGCCGCGCCATATCTGTAGCACCTTGATTGTCAACCTGTAGGAATCCATCTACGTACCCCTTTTGAATAACTTCCTCTAGAAGAGTCAGCTCGGGCATGTCATACCCACCACCTTGTATGACATGGTTCTTGCTACTTCCGCTGCTTCTGTTGGAATCACTTTGATTTGTGTATTTGCGTGCCAATGGTGATATCCCTTCCGGCTCCACGATATGGCAGCTCACAAAGTGTGAGCAGTCCTCTTTGAAACGTTTGGTACATCCCGCAAAGGACCCACCTGTTCCTACAAAATCGACAAAGCCATCAATTCGCACGTCGGGAGAGTCCTTGACTTGTTCCAGAATTTCTCTTGCAGTCCCTAAATAGTGTGCATCTGCGTTGGCCTTTCTCACGAATTGATCAATGCGAAAAGATTGTCGATCTTGACAGAGTTTCTGGGCTGTTTCTTCCACCAATGCCAAATCCTCTCCCGACACTTGGTTGGCAGCACTTCCGGGGGCCTGTGGAACCAGCACGACTTCGGCCCCCAGAAAACGCATCATTTGAGCCCGTTCTCTAGAGTTTCCTTGTGACATGACGGCACAAAAGGGATGACCCAGGAGGGGGCATACCATAGCCAATCCTGTCCCAGTGTTGCCACTTGTGAGCTCCACGACAGGTTGGCCTTCTTGTAAGATGCCGGCTGCCTTCGCTTGACGAATGATTTCATGGGCAATGCGGTCTTTTTTGCTCATTCCAGGATTTGTATTTTCGAGTTTGGCAAGAATAAGGGGCTTGCTGTTGTGGTTGTTGCTGCCAGATGATCCATTCCTTAAACCAAGTGCCTGACAGAACCGGTCCAATCGAACCAGAGGAGTGTTGCCGATGGTATCCAAAACAGAGTTGGCCAATGGGGGCGGATGAGGAGGGAGAGCCGAGAAACTTATTTTCCTACTTTTAAGCGCTCGTGTGATCTGTATCCCTTTGTGCAGGGACCTTGGTATGATGGAGGCAGCAGCCAGCATCCTTAATGATTTAGAATTCTATTGTCCTTCGATCGCTGCATTTTTGTTGATGGTACTCTTCTAGCTAGATACCAGCTGAAAATTTTAGAGTGGAACAAACTTGATGCGAAGATACCCTTCTTCGCTGTTTACCTTATCGTTTTCACAGCCTTGCTGCATTTTGTGGTTGCCCTAACAGCTTCACGTCAAACGGCAGACAGGCAGACGACAGACACCATCTGTAAAAGACACTCAGTTTCACCCAGAACCCAAGAAGTTGCCTTGCGTTTCGAAGCGAGAAAGCTCCCTCGCACCTCGGAAGTTCCTTTCTCATCATTATTTTTACATCGACTGTTTTGAGAACAAATAAATTCTGTCAACCTCAGCATCATGACCATGAGAGCCAGCACCAAACGCTCCAATCCTTCCAAAGAGGACAGCTCAGTGTCCTCCTCTGAAGAGAAGACGATTCCATTTCTGAGGTAAGAAAGATAAATTAGAAGAGCAAAAGATAGTGTGGCTGTTCTCGTGTGAATGATCAATTGTTCGTTGAAATGACACCACGTTGACATCAAGTCAATCCGTCCAGGATTCCCTTCCTCCACCTCTACTACTAGTAGAGTGTTATCATTTGTGTATACCTCCAGATGGGTCGGTTGTCGTCGCAAAAACCATCATTGTCCATTGCTTGCCTCCACAAGGCGAAAAGATTTCGTTTTCCCGTCTTGAAGCGCGGGCCGGCGATTTCAGCATTGGCCATTCCAAAGTACTGTTTTTGTGATAGTAAAGTCCGTTTTGACACCATTGAGAAAAGTATCTTTCCCGCAGGGCCCATCAGGAAGAAGAAAAGAAGCCAAGGCCACCTCCTTGTTTTCGCCTTTGAGCTGGTTCGCTCGGTTTTTGGTTGGACGCCATGGTTTCTTCTTGTTGTCTGTTGTTGTCTGTTGTTGTTAATGTTATACCGTCAACCTACTAGCTAGCGGGCTAGTCCATGGTGGCTTGGTTCATCCACTGTCTTAGCAAGAAGCCCTCTGTCTGCCAGATTCCCATTAGGTTTCTCACCATCACATTGACTTCTCACTTTTCTATCGCAGGCGATTGACTGATATGTTGCTCGAGAATGAAGAATTCATTAGCTTTGAACCAGGATGTGAGTTAACTACCAAAGTACCTGTCTGTTTGAATGATGCTACCCATAGCTTCTTGTCTAACTTATCATCTAATCTATTGACGTCAATCCAGGCCACATCGATAAGGATGGCAAGAGGGTTCTCGGCAAGATTGTCGTCCACGACCGCGTCAAGGTGGAATCTTCCATCCTCCCTAGATACTTTAATCACTCCTCCTTTGCCTCCCTGCGCCGGCAACTCAACTACTTTGCCTTTACTCGCATTGGGAAAGGCCGTCAGCGAGGCGCTACCTACTGCAATGAAGGAGTGGTGGTCTTGGAAGACATTCTGTCCCTCAAGCGAAGGTCCGTCACGAATAGCTCCGCGGCCACTGTGGCTGCGGCCAATGCCGTCAAAAAGGCAACCGCCAAGGAAGAAGCCATTACTGCTTCCAAGGCTGCCAAAGAGGACAAGCCCAAGAATAAACCCAACAAACGCATGCGCCTAACACCACCTGCTAGTACTACCACCAACAGCAAGGTTACCATCGGTATCTCCGACTTGGGTACTACTCGCAACGTGACTCAGCAGCAGACACCCACCTGCAGTGTGGTGCCCGCCCTCACTCCTGCCCGTGTCACCCCAGTGGGCCATCTGACCAACCAGCAGGTCCCACCCAAGAGAATCTCATTAGATCTGACTTCATCCTCCACCTCGGCCCTCACACCTCCTCAAAAGTCAGTTCCACTCTTGCAGAGTGTCATCTTCAACACTACCCACCATCACAATGTCATGGAACCTCCAAAACCAACTCCCACTACCGTCTATGGGGATGACGACATCCTCGCTGGTTGTAAGGCTCTCTTGTGTTTCTCGCGAGGCATTCCTTCTCGCTAAGTTTCACGCATGCAATGCAAGCAAGCAGAAGTGATTGATAAGATTATCAACATGAGGTGCACGTAAAGATGCCAGCGCCTCCAACTATCCACACAGAAAAACACAGAAAACACCACAAACATGCACAAGGGATTCAGTGAAAGTAAAACACAACACAACAGTTGCGCAGTCCACCGTGGGCTGCTGTATACCTGAGATAGTAGGTTAAGATTGTATGTATACATAATAACAAAGCATTAAAAACAAATCACAATATGCTTCTTCGAAGTCGGGTGTCCTCTAGCTAGCTACATGTAGGTACCAGTACCCGTAGCACTGGCATGCCGGTTGGGCTGTGCTAGGATCAAGCTGAAAGCACCAAAATCACTGCAAAGCAATATGCTTCTTTGAAGTGGGTGTCCTCTAGCGAGGTATCGGTAGCACTGGCATGCCCGTTGGGCTGAGCGAGGATCAAGCTGAAAGTATCGAGATCACTGCATCGCAATATGCTTCTTTGAAGTCGGGGTGTCCTCTAGCTAGGTACGTACCGGTAGCACTGGCATGCCCGTTGGGCTGAACGAGGATAAAGCTGAAAGTATCAAAATCACTACATCGCAATATGCTTCTTTGAGGTCGGTGTCCTCTACCTACCGAGGTACCGGTAGCACTGGCATGCCCGTTGGGCTGAGCGAGGATCAAGCTGAAAGTATCGATTGAGATCACTGCTAGTGGAAAGGCCAGCATTTGCAAACTGTAGCTAGATTGATACATAAGTTATAACGAAGCTAGTTGGGCTCACGACTTCTGTCGTCAATAGTAAGAACCCCCGCCGACAGAATGATCAACTCTGTCTTCAGGATTCTGAGCCTCCTCATCCTCATTGGCCATGTATAGACCTGAACTAAAGTCGATGCCTGGAACAGAAAGGGTCTTGGTTCTTCGCCGCGGATGCTTCCCGATCCATTCAAGAAGCAAATCTCGCTCACGTTCCATCTCCCCCCAGGTCATAGTCGGCTCAAAGCCCAAAGATGCCAGTTTCCGTGTCCGCACAAACCTCTGACCTCCGCCGTCTTGGTCTGTTCGACGAACCAAGACCAAAGCGCCAGTCTCGTTGGCCTGCAGCACTGCTGGACTTACAAACGGTTGAACTAGGGATTCCCCCGTTGCAATAACGTTCTGTAGCGTCATTGTTGTCTCGTAGGGTGCCGGAGGCTCTTCGTCCTGGTCGACATTTAGATTCGTCCATCCTGGCAAGTTCCAAAAGAATTGCATCGATATCCAAATCGTCAGAATAGTACCGCTCACGAGAACTACTATCCAGTACACATCAAGGCAAATGGTGAATGCTTTCCCAGGTAGCTCGCTCGAGAATGAGTTGATAGCAGCCCTATATGCCTGAATTGCGTTGGCGTGTAAGAGTGTTGGATACGGAAATGCTGCATGGGCAGGAGAGAATGGCTTTTTCTTGAAGCCCTTCCACCGAACAGCCAGAGACTGCAAACTTGCTAGAAACCCAATCACTGACAAGACAAAAAGTGCGTGCATTGCCGGAAGATACACGAGACGATGTGCTCGTTGGAATCTGTTGATATCAGGCTTCTCTTGCTCAAAGGATGGCTGGGCCATTATGGTGAGAGCCATCAAAGCCACTGCTGGTGCAGACATCTGCATATACCCCACTGGAGCAGAGATCTTCTCGTTAAGAGCCACTATCCAAATCAAGCAGGTAAGCTTGGTGTTTCATTCTAGTTAACGGTGACAACGGAGCATGAAAACGTACCTCGAACCAAACTTATCGGAAAGAAGAAGAAATTCAGGGACAACGCGAGTGCCATCAGAAAATGGCCAGACATGGGATAGTACAACCATGTCTTCACAGCAGTCATGCCAATACCAACCGTGTTGGGAAACCAAGATGGGTCTGGCATGATGTGATATGCCAAGGCCTGCATTGTTGATGGTACGGCGATGGTTGGTGAGGTAAAAAGAAATCACAGAAAGCACAGGAGAAACCCGTGCATGCTTACCATGTAGATGAACCAGATCACCAGACACAGGTGCACGCATGCTGCCAAGGATACAATGATTTGCCCTATAATCCCTCTTCCTGCAAACACGCACACCGTTGTCATACATATAAGTCCGGCTGGACTGGCTGTGGTTGGTGAACTCAACTCGTCGAGGAAGACTTGTGGAGCTAGGCACAGTTTCAGCACAAAACTCAAGGCCAGAACACCAGCAAAGGCAGAACAGGCAAAGTGAAAGTTCACGGCAAGTTGGTACATGGGTGCTGTGGTGTCGCAGTAGAAACATCCAGGGAACTCTGGGAAGGTACATTGCGAAGAATGAAATTGGACGGGCTCGCAAGAATCTACAGGAGGGGATCAATAGAAAGGCATAAGTGCATGTGTGTGTGTGTGTTGCGCATGCTCGGAACCGACCAAGGCACCTCCGTTGCTCTTTTGGGAAGAAGGGCCCTTGAATAGACTCAGACTCACCAAGGTTTTCTTCAACCCACTTGAACCAAACGACACCAAGTGTAACAATTGCCATGGCAATTCCACCAACCGTGAGCGGTAAATTACAAATGAAGGCTTCCACAAAGGATAGCACCTTGAATGCCTTTCTAAGAATGTCGCCGAACTCAGAGTCCAAGTATCTGCCAATGCGCCGGTACCATTGGTCAGCTTCCTGTTGTCGACGTGATGCTATTGCTTCAGCGCGTGCCTCCGCCTTCCACTGCGCGATAAGCCTATTGCGTTCATCTTCAAGCATTTGTGAACGTCGCCTCGTCCATTGTCTGTAGTCATATGATGAAGACGACGAGGAATGCTCTTCAGAGTCTTGAGATGATCCTGAGTTGTTGCCATCGACCGCCTGGTTTCTCCTTCGTGCACGGCGGCGAGACTTCTTTTTCTTCCTCTGAGAATTCCATTGGGGTGGGCGATACTGTGAGAGAGTTCCCTTGCGAGTCATCATACGTGCGGTTTGCGCAACATATTCAACACTTACTCTGCTTTGCGTGCGAGAACCTGATACGTTGTTCCTGTGGAGAGTCGTTTCGCTCTCGCGATTCCTGTTGCCTTCAGTCGACGCCCTATGAGGTCTCCTCGATGATCTGGTTTTACTGTGTTTGTGACGTTTGGATGATGATTGTTGTTTTTCACTATGATAACGCCTTCTCGTTTCCAGGTGTTCACTTGAACCTTGCCCCGATGGTGGTAGGAGTGATGTCCTTTCATTAGCTTCTCCGTTGGGAAAGCTGTACCGAGGCTTTACAGCAAGGTCACTTCCGTCACTTGAAACGAAACGTTAGCAAATAGCAAATGAAAGGATGAAACATCAATTCCTGGACTTCTCGTACCTCGTTGAAAGTTGGCTGCTCGCATCTCCAGAGGATTGTTCAGCAGATGTCGTTCGTTCAATTCCAGCAGTTTCCTCCCAGTTGTCGTTCTCAATAGAAGGGAGCCGTCTGTGGGTGCCTCGGGTTGCTGGTGGTCGGTCCATGGACCCAACACTGAGGCAATGGGCAGTAATGGTGAGATTTGCAAAACTCCACGGAAAAGGTAGGTACTGGTACAAGGTCTCTATCTTACCGACGATGCTGCGGTGGTGGTTTGCGAAATTGCCTCTTGGTGGCGGCTGATTGTTCCAGGAAGGCTTGGTTCTTTTTGTGAAAGTCAGACGCAGTCAATTTAGGTGAATGTTGCCGTTTCTCGGTTGAAAATGGATTCAGCATTTTCAAAAAGTCACTCCTTCCACCACTGCGCTGTCCTTTTGGATGCCTTGGATTGTCCTCATGTTGCGTTGCCACATATCCAAACACACTACCCTGACTGCCTAGCGACGAGACACTTCCAGAGCTGTGAAATTGATTGCAAGCACAGGTAAGATGATGGTTTGGTCTCCATTGCAAAGGTCTAGACAAACGTCTTCACTGCACTTACGATTCTGCTCGAACATGATGCGGAGGAACGGGAGGTGGAGGAGGAGGCGGCGGAACACCGGTACCTCCATTGTTGTTGCTACTGCTGCTTGGATCGGTTTGGGTAGATTGCGCCGCTGCAGGAGGAGGAGTAACTCTGGCCTTGGGATCTTGCTCAGAGGAATCAATGCTGCTTGCTGGCAAATGTTTGTCCTTCGTTGCTGCCTGCCCTCCATTGTTACTGTTTCTAGAGTTGCTTTTTGGTGGCAAGGAATGTTGCGGCTGCGCTTGAGGCTGTTGAGTCTGTGGTGGAACTTGATGTTGTTGTGGTGGTGGTGGGTAAGGTGGAACTTGCTGTTGTTGTGGTGGTGGTGGGTAAGGACGCCCTGGCTGCTTTCCTGGTGGCATTATTAGGTGTTGTTGCTGCATAGCTCTACTTTGTGGATCATAGTGTCTATGGTGTTGCTGTGGCGACCGATAAGGATGCAACCTGGGACTTGATGGGGGATAGGCCCCAAAGGGCATCTGCATGTGCATTGGTTGTGGCGGCGGCATGGGGTATCCAAAGTGTTGTGGCGGTGCTACCATCATTCCATTGATCTGATATGGATTGGGTGGGGGTTGGTGGAATTCTGCGGGTGTCATCATATATGGATTGCTAAAGCGTGGGTCCATTACTCGGGGTGGCTGTGGTGGCGACCGGTCTCGCTGTTTCTGTGGCTGCTGTTGCTGTTGTTTTTGTTTCATTTGCATCAGTTTTCTCCGTTGATCATAAGGTAGCATTTGCGGGTTGACTCTGCCCATATTTTGCTGCGTCACTCTGGAGGTCTGTGGCGATGGATTGCTAGTTGTTGAATGTTGTGGCAGCACATGCCGTACAAGCGAACCTGAGCTAGCCATACTGTCAAAGCTAGGGAAACGTTCACGACCTCTAGCCGCTTCATGAGTTGGTGCGGGTTTCTTATTCCTCTTGGAGTTGAACACAATGCTGGAGTTCCGATTCATTCGCCAAAAACACATTACGAATCACAGCCGAAAAAGTATGAACAATTGCTGCAAAATCAACATTATCAAATGAGACAAAACATACCCAGGATACGTACCTTCCATCACTGCCATCAGAGTCTTCGTACAGGGAGTTGAAGATGCCATGTCCTGGTGGACGCTGCATTGGCCGCTGATCACTTCCGTATCCGTCAGTTGCAGATGACTCGATCGTCTTCATGGCCAAAGGAGAAGGTTTCGTCAAACGCTTGTCGCTTCCAGGAGCAGGCGGCAATCCAAGCGAAGATAAAGAGGAGTTCATATTATTGCCCGATGAGTTTATCTCTTTCCCATCACTCCATCCATTAGGAACAGGTGCTTCCACTTCGTCTTTCCCGTCCACTGATGGCGGCCTTGCCTGTCTGCTGCTCCCGCTCATGATGTACCAGCTTCAAGGCCAAAACTTCTTGTGCCTGTGGCATTCCTCCCTAGCTTGGCTTTATAAAGAAGCTACTAAAACCCAGGACTGTCAACTCAAATACTTGCGGCAAAGCTTGAGAATGATGTGTGGGAGTTTTTGGGGTCTCAACAGGCTGTCCATCGTCGACTCTCGACTCCGAACAGTTGAGGGGGAAACTGTGCGTACCGTACATCAAGGATGGCGATCCAGTTTGTCCAACAAAATGACAACACTCCAGCACCCTAGCGTTTCAATTGCTTGGGCTCTATGCATAGCTAGATCTTCGAGTTTGAGCTGGTGATGTTTGCTGTGGATGGCCATCCATCACTCTAAACCTAAATACTAGTAGCTAGTTGTTACAAGTACATGTACCGGTACATGCAGTATGATAGGCAAATAGACACATGTACAAAGAGCCACCAGAGTCGAGTCCATAGAGAGTATCAGAAAGACATCAAGATTTTTCAATTTGCACTCTCTTAGTAGCAGTTATAATCACAGACTGGCCGCAGTCAAGCCTAAAGACAACTTCGGTGATTCCGAGAATACATATCGGGAACACTGACACTGTCTATCACTGACCCCGACCATTTCCTCCCTCCGAATCCGATTGTGATGCAGAGTCTTGATGCAAAGCAAGTGCGGCTTCGTAAGCCTGTTGAAGTTCATCAGTCCACACAAAGTTCAGATCAGGCTCTTCTCCCTCTTCACAAAATCTACCTCGCCGGTAGCACCATACTCGTCTATCATTGAACGCACGACCTCCACTCGGATCTGTTGGTACAACGAATCTTCGCCCAGTGGTAGAGTCCGCAAGCAAGAAGGTGCGAACAAGCTTTGACCCCCCTAAGTCCTTGGCGTCCCTCTTGGAAGCTTGAGCAATAATCGCAGGCTTGCCGTCTTCGTTTCTTGCAGGTGACGTCAACGCTTGGAGCAGGTCTTCTCCAATACCAGGAAGAGTCTCCAGCCCACAGCAGCCACTTGCTATTGAAGTCACGTCGTTCAAGCCCACGTCCACTTCCCCGTCTCGGATTGATGCACAGCCACCAGATGGGGCCATGGACGCTTTCCTCCCGCCTTGGATACGAATCTTGGCGTCCGTTGCCAGGTGACGAGTGCAATCCTTCACTTCGGCGTGTTGACAGCCCTCAAAAGAAATCAGCGCTGTCAACAGCCGATCTTCCATGGATTGACCGAATGGCAGTGAGCTGCTACCGGCAATGGGGATAAGATGTCCCGTCAAAGATTGAAGAGCCCGAACAGCCAGTGTGGCACTCAATGCATCGTCGCGTCCACCGCCAACAATAGCGCCAGGAGTGCCACCATTGACACAAAAGTCCGTAACTACTCTCAACAAACTCTCATAGACAGGACCAGTAGCAATCCTTTCCTTCATGAAATCGGGACCGGACGCCAAGGCAGAGATGCATCCTACCGACGACCTGAGTGTGAACACTCCGTACTTGTATCCGTTGCCACCTCGTCCGGACAAAGTGTTGTGCAGTAAGCTGATGATCTTGGGGATGACGTTCTCTGTTTTTCTCAACAGGTCATAGCATTCGTCGCCTTCATCGTATCTGCAAACAAAGGTGACTGCCATGGCCGCCTTGAGGCTCTGGTAGTGGTCCAGAGTCAAAAGAGGCGCCAACAGCTCCACAACACCAGCTTCCCGAAGTGCTGGGACGGCTTCATCGCTTTGAGCAATATTCATCAAGAATCCCACACACCACGAAGCAGTCTGCCCTTTCCATTGTGTCGGGTCAGGTCCAGCTTCATGTAGAATATCCATGAGTGGCGCAAGAGCACCGGACTCAAGCAATGGAATGGCATTCTCCAGCGACTCTGCCAACAACGTCAGGGCCGCAACGCATTTGAACCTCGCCTCGGTGGTTCCATCTTCTTCGGCAACCTGCACCAAGACGGGAAGAATGTCTCCACGCTGGACAACGGGCACTTGATTCTTCATTTCCGCCGCAAAGCTCCACAAGATGGAGCACGCCTTTGTGCGTGCTTCCCCTGTATCAGTTTGGATCACATTGAGAATGGCATCGACGAAGCAAGGGTACGAGAACATGGGAATCTTGTTGTCGTATCCAATGGCCAAGTTCGAGAGTGCCGAACACGCCTTGATCCTTGCTTCCGTGGAGGACCCTTGTGCAGTCGTTCGCTCCAGGACATTCATGAGAGCATCCATGACGCCTGGGGTTCGAAAGACTCTGTGCTTGTTGGCCTTGGAAATGGACAAGTTCATGAGTGCCAAGCAGGCATTGGTTGTACAAGGAGTGGCTCCATTTTCGGGCGAACATGTTGCAGCGGCTACATGTCCCAAGGCTTCGACGAGTCCTGGTGTCCCCAGCAGGGCCGAATCATTTGCGTCGGCATTACTAAGATTCTTGATGCATGTGGTTGCTTTCAGCCTTGCTTCATCAGTGGAGTTGACCATGACGTCTCTCATGGCTTCTAGAACATCTGGTACCTTGGCAATTTCAATCTTGTTGGCCTTTCCGCAGCTCAAGTTCATGATAGCAATGCATGCATGCAGTCTGGCCTTTTCCGATGCCAGCGGTACCGTACACCGAACTCCATTGTCTTGTACGTGTGTGACAAAGGGTCCTCCTCGTGCCACCAAGGCGAGTGTTGTGAGCAATCCATACGTTCCCATGAGAAACCGATCGCTTTCTTCGGTGGCCGTCAAACTTCGAATCGTCTCGACAGCGTACTCTCTTCCCAGCCAGTCTGCATGTTCCGATACCTGCAGCATGGTCCGTTGTACAAACTCCAAAATACGTCTATTGCTGGCCACAGCCACTCGTCGGTGTGACATTTTGGCATAATCTGCCAACATGCGTGTCCCCAGAGTGACCAGTCGGGGTGTGGTAAGAGCCTGTAAAAGGGCCACTATGCACCCCCTCTCGGCAAAGTATTTGAGATCGGAAACGGTAGTGTTGGGTCCAAATGATAGCATGATCGAGTTTGGAGATGGGGGAGCAGCAGATGAAGCAGTGGTGGCTGCTGGGGGTGGCGAGGAAGGCTCGTCTGCTGACATATCAAATGCTCCATTTCGATAAATCATTCTCATGGATTCACTCGAGTAGGAAGAAGCCGCCGATTCGTTGCTCGACATGTGGCTGTCGGGACACATCACGGAATCTCCATCAACTTCGTCCTCGTCGTCTTCGTCCTCATCTTCTTCATCATGGTCTTGGTCTACTTGTTCCCAAGTTTCTTCTAGCTGTTGTACTGAAGAAGCGAGACTGTCAAAGGTTCTGTCCAGTCCAGGCAGACCATCATCGTCGTCACTTTCCATAGAGGTTGTACTGTCCAGAACAGATCTCACTTGAAAGTTGGTTTGAGACCGCAGTCGTCGTGGCCCAGGGGTTCCACTGCTTGGGTTGTTGCCAGTACTGATGGTCGAGTTGGATGGCCGAAAGGATCGCACAGGCGACACAGACGGGTGGCCGTTGACAGCGGGCGAATTGGGGGCAGTCGACGAATTAAAAATACTAGAACCCGTCGACAGCGGGGATGCCAAAACGTCAGAGTTCCCATTAGTGTCCATGGGCAAGACAGAGCCTCCTCCCACTGGAGAACTAGTCGACGACAAGTTGTTGTTGCTGTTGTTGTTGTTGCCAGTAGAGACAGCCGCGCTGCCACTGGGAGAAGAGGCCGAACCAGCTGCTGAAGTTCCTTCGGGTGTCCCACCACTGCCACTGCCGCCACCAGAACTCTCCATGCCAAAGTGAGGCACAAAAGGAGGTCTGTCTCCTACTACCGTAGACCACGGGGACGCTTGGTTCAGAGTCGGATCAATGGACAGAGGATCAATCTGGGAGGCATTCGAGGACGACGGTCGAATAGCTTCCGACGTTGACTGAGTACCAGAGCCTACGTGGTTTAACGTTTCTTGCGCACCTGGAGGCACTGGACTTCCTTCATCCACATCAGATTGGTCTGCGTCTACTGGGCCCGGCGGTACAGGATCATGTGGTGGCGGAGCTCCCATCGGCATAGAAGCATCGTAGTCAAAGGTTAAGAACTGATCAGGGAAAGTCCCCGTCGCTTCTCGAGGCGCCATCGTCTATTGGTACTCTTGGTCCTGGCTCAAGGAATGAGGCTTCACAGTATGGAACGAACACTGCAACACTGCAACTTGCGGGTACAGTAACTAACGGGCATGGAGCAAAATATGACCCAAGGCGCTCCTCTGTCCCAAAAATTATTAAATATATTCATGGCTGGATAAAGCAAATATTTCGTCTGCCGTTGACCGTCTGGCCTTTGTCCAGGATGCCTGCAATGGGGTAGAAATATCAACACAAGACCCCAAAAATTTGGTCCCCCAAAGAGACCACTGCAAATTTATCGGCTCTTCATGTCCCGCGTCGACCCTTCCAGCTTTGGGGGATTCCTTTCGAAAGCAACCAAACAGCAGCGCCAACGCACGTTGTCCGAAACAACGCATGTGGAAGAGCACCCTTCAAAGGAATCTACAGCCAGCAATTTGCAAGTGGGAAAGTCTAGCAAGTACCACCAAACAGTAATGTCGTGCTACCTGCCACCACCTCTTTCTAGCTTTGGGTCGAACGCTTGCTACGAGCACCGACCCACCGCGCAGCATACCAACCAAGATAAGATCATGCATAGCATGCTTCAGTTGGCTTCAAAACCTTTCGCAGCCATGGGTTTGATAGGCTGGTGGCCAAAGATTCAATCAATCGTTCTGTTGGCCCTCCTCCAGCAGGTCTGGACTGAACCGGTAAGTCCAAAAGCATGCATCCAAAGACAAGTATTTTTCTTTTGTCTGGGCTGGCTGTCTAGCTAGTAGCTCGGTGCAATGCTGTACCCAACAACAACAACAAAGCTAGAATGGCTGTGTCGAATGTCGCATACCTGAATTTATTATTTACTATCTATCTACCTAGCTAGTCTAGTGTGTGCTGGTTTTTGCCTAGCTAGGAAGCACTTGAACTGAACTACAGACTGATTTAAAAAGCATTTCCTGCTACACGTTGTATTGGCTGAATGGATGGTGGTGTGGTTGCTGCTGATCGAGGCTCTC